CAAAACTACATTTATCCCACTCGATATTAGTTAACTTTTATCTTTTTGGAGTTATCTGAACTAATAATAATAATAATATAACAAGTATTATTTCAAATTTTTTATTATCTTTGATCTATCTTACTTAACAGTATACACGTATGCTTTTAGTGTTTATTTTAAAAAGTATGCCAAGTCAAGTTTTTCTCCTGTTAGGCTTAAAAGAGATTAAGATAAAAGGTGTTGACATGACGTAAATCAAAAATCATTTTAAGATATATTTTTGTTTTAAAACAATAGCTCGTAGCTTTTGGAATTATACCGCACATCATTGTTATTTTGTATTGTCATATCATGTACTGATTCATACAAAGCGTAGCAAATAGAAAACTAGAGACTTGTAATGAATAGATGATTCATTTTATTTTTGATTCACTTTTAAATATAAATTTTGACGTTTAGTTTAGACGAAAAGTGAAATTTTAGACACAACATGAAAATCTAAATATGTATTTACTTTTATTATTTATTTTATTCTTATCAAAATGCAACTTGGGAAATATAAAATAGTTGTTTTGTGCATCCGTTAATTTTTTTAAAAATGAACCGTAATTTATCGACGAGCTGTAAGCTATAATATGTATAAAAATGGTTATTGTATTCGACCGAAACAGTGATGCAAATTGGATAAAAAGTGGTTAAATGAAGCGATAAAACGTTAAATCATTTAGAGTGTCACTTAGATGAAAATAACAGTATAATTTAAAAAAAAAAGTTTTATTAGGGAAAATTGGAAGTGTGTGTAAAAAAATATGTGTGTTATTGATTTTGAATGGAAAAATTGCGGGCCGACATGAAATTAAATATTTGGAAAGGCCGCAATGTGAAAGTCAAACATAATTTCAACACTTCTTCCGAACGGAGGAAAATATTTGTGGATGAAAATCGTCATTGTCTCTCCGAATTGTCAGCCGTCGGAATCTGAAAACAAACAAGAATTTCTTGCAGTTTTCCCAGTAAGTTACAGCCTCAATGTTTATTCAGTCGATCAAAATACTTCGCCAGTGAATCCGATCCGGCCGAATTACCGCACAGCGCCGTGGTCTAACCGAGTTTTCTCCACTCGTAATGAGAAATTAAACTCTATTATTCCGGTAATGTTCCGGATTTTGCTCTGCAGTTTGCTTATGTTTATGTTGAATCAATTCGAATAACACGATTCGGTCAACTTTTTGGCCAAGAACAATTTAACGATTCGATTCGCTTTGCTCGCATTTATGTGTGCATTTCTAGAAGGTGAGATCTTTTAAACGTTTGTTCCCTAGAGCATCATCGTGGGTCGATTTAAGCTCAAAAGCTGATTTGCAAACAACTCCTCTATCATATTAAAATAGCATCTCCGTATAATACATATGACTACTCAACAAATGCTCAACAATTAAAATTATTCGACTAACAACCGATTTGTTTTTTCCATTCTAAATTTTACTCAATTTATGTTATTTCCGGGCTGAAAAAGCGTCTTTCGAACTTTATGAATTCATTTAAAACGCCTGATATTTTCAAAGGAATATAATAAATACTCGACGACTGGGTAGTTGTGACAATTTACCTTTGACTTTTTGCTATTAGAAAGGTCAAATAGACTAGATGGTCAGTAAACCTAAGAGTGGAAGTTAAAATTGCAAAAGGTTGAAGAGTTATGTTACCATACGCCATTTGCTGTTCCCTGTCATAATCAATACACAAATGGCGATAAAAGATAAAATAAAGATAATAAAAACTAAATCTCCTAAGCTTAGGTATTATAATATGTATAACAAAAATGCATCACGAATATGACAATCGCAAATGCCAAAATTTCAAAAAGCTCCTCCTATTATATTTAACTGTAGATGGATGAAACAGATCGATTTTTACTTGAAAAATTCAATAAAACTGATTTTTGATATGGTTCAAAAAGCACAAAGCTTATAATACGTTTCATTTAAGTTTGGAGACAACATTTTTGTTTTCGAGCCATTGCGGTCAAATTTTATTTAATATTACAAACTGTTAAAGATAATTAATATACCATTAATCATAGGAAAGTTGTTTCCATTGGAAAGGACCGCTCTTGCAACTCGTCATAACTATAGAAATATATACCTAGAAAGCCTTATAGCCGCAGACGCAAACACGAACAAAGAACTCTAATAACATAAGCTTCACATATCTCACATTTTGTATTTAACAACTTTGCCTGTAATAAATATCAGTGCTATATTTTATAAAAATATATTATTTCGCATAGCTATAATTCTTGTAAATTTTAATTGACTGAATTGAAACAAACAACATTGTATAGAGAGTTTTTATTTAATTTAAGCACTCGTTCAAAATATCTGTTAATGCCCAGCATCAGTTGAATTATGTTTTTCAGATTGTTGGCAGTTTCCGGGGATTTTGTCTCGTATTCGGCCTAATTTCTGTTGCCATCAGGTAGTAATTTAATTTTAATTATGAGGTAAATTCAACGGTTGGGAGATATTAAATGTTTCATGTCGGGTTTCAATTCACTGAAAACGTTATTGAGGATCACTCTCTATATAATAATCCTAATTTGATAATTTTAGAAATTTATTGTGGTTAGAATTCGAAATTATAGAGTAAATTTTATAGTCCACGTTGCTCTTTATTTACCTGAATAATAAACGGAAATTTAATATAATAATTATCTGCGTGTTCCGTTCGAGTATTTAGGAATTCCCTGGTTCAGGTTTGGATTTTAATTGAAGAATTTTACCTGCAAATATCTCAAATTCCCTTTACTTCAAACATTATAACAATAGTCAGCCATTAAACGTGTGGTAAAAAATCACAAGAACACTTCCCTGCAATTTGAAAGTCTATATTTAAATAATGACGAAATTATTGACAGCAATTGATCAGATATCAACAATGTACTCTTGCCGATAACCGAGCTCTTGGTGGAGAAAGCTAACTCACGAACTCTGTTTAACCCACATCTCATGGTTGTTCGACCTGTCGATGCCGAACTGGTAAATTATTTGACGAATCGGCACTCGACACTTGATCATTTAAAATCGATATTTCATCGCTAAATCCTAAAGCGAGGTTAACCCAAACACAACAATTAAATATTTTAATTAATAATTGGTTACAATAAATGAGATAAGCAGTCGACTAACAACGGACTATTATTTGTTTACAAATGATAATAAAGTATTAAGCTACTGATAAAAATCGCCTTCAAGACTAGTCCGCTAATCGATTCAAATTGAAAGCAATTGTTACAACAAGAAATAAAATTGTGATAATTTTAATGGCAAAAAATTGCTTTGTGTAATGCTCGCGTGTTGTGGTTTGTACTACAAGGAAATCTTTACGCTGTATATTTTTATTAAATAAATGCAATAAATGTGTCTCCCAGAAATATGTTGATAAAATAGAGAAATTGACAAATTCTAGAGATTATTCTCGTCAATTATGATACGATAATTACTGTTAAGAATTTAAAATAAAAAAATAAAAATCGCTTTAATTCAGGTATAGAAATCAGCCTTCCATAAAATACAATTATTATTTATTATTAATGGATAAAACGTTTCTAAAATCGGCCCTCCAACAAAGATATCTAAAAAAAGTTGCCGAAACGTAGTCAGATCGATTTTTGTTGCAATGAATGGAAAATCCATTATCTGTCAAAGTATTTATTTTATGGTACTAATAAACTGATCGAAAATAGCATAAAGATTATATTAATTTGTGACAAAAATCGCAGGAGTGGTCCTATAAAATGTCCATTAGTGACGGTATCAACATTCGGATTATCTAAAATTACTTCTTCAGATATGGAAACAACATTAAAATCGCCTAAAATCACCAAACAATAATAGCAAAAATGTTTTAAAATAGTGTATTCGTACATATTATGAATAGATTGGCAGGTAAAGGTAAGTTGAGTAACAGAAAGCTGGTGATTTGAAAATACCGCAAAAAGTTTTATTAAAAAAAAAAAAATGTTGCGGTAAAACAGCGTCTAGAATTAGCGAAATGAATAATTTGCATGGAATAGGGCTGGGTTGAGTGGTGATTATAAGAAAAAGCCGGCAGCGAATTGGGTTTTCGGTGTTTATTTAATGCAAAATTGTAAAATGGTGGGGTTATAATTTCCCGAAATGATACATTTCCTTATCGTATTTATGTAAATTTCGAGCTAAATGTCAAATTTGGTTTTGGTACGGTATAAATTAAGGTTGACTAGAGGCATCGATTCAGACAGATGAAAAAATTTAAATAAAATTTAGTCTGAGAAATTGAATATAGATGTTAGCGCGTGATTTGAACGTTGAAAATTGAATCGACTAACCCACATCAATTGGATTAAATTCGGCCACGTTTAAATGCGAAATTATGCAGAGTCGCGCCTGAGAACAAGAAAAACTTGAATATCTAAGTGGATTTCGCGCTATATTATTAAATGAGCACTTGACAAAACGTTTTTATCGTCATCAATGAGAAAGAATCGTTTTTCTTAGTTCAGTCAACTTTCGAACAAAGACATCCTCGACGAAATTCAACCGCACTGTGATATTCAACACTTTCAATTTCATCTTGGCCACCAGGACAAAAAGCTACCTGGATGTTCTCCGAATTCATTACTATGCAGCTTTTTGCGTGTCGCCCGTAAAACACGTGTTGTAAGATGTCAAAACCTGCATTCTTTCAAGATGTTCTTTAGTTTGAAGATTCGCCGGTTGTGTAAAAAGGCGATTTCCGCGACTGCCAGTCTGGAGCCTTCCACACACCCCATTTGATTGACCGCTTCCCCTGATTGTTCTTCGCAACTCGAAGGCACAACCAGAACAATGGAACGAACTATTCCGTAGAACGAACCACAGAATAGGTAATATTAATTTAAGTTAGCAAATTTCTATGTACCTACACCCTACACTTGAAATTAACAATTAGATTGTCAACGGAACCCGAACCTAAACTACATAAAACAATAGACTTACATGCTATCACTGGTATTCCAGTGAACCTGGAATGTTTTTGAGCAGGTGGACTGTGTGCACAAGAAGACGGTCTCCATGCAGACGAGCAATACAACGGTCAAACATGAGGTTGTTCTAAACCCCGGCAAGATCAAACTGCACTTTTTTATTAACACGGCCATTTCGCGAACCGATCACCAAAACGCACTCTTCCACTGAACACCAAGACCAAGACCACCCTACCATCGAGAAGTTGTCATCATCTTCAACAATTACCGGTCGATCGCCACCAGTAACTCTCATTGTCCCGGCACATGTTCAAATCGCAACGTGGATGTGCCCGAAGTGTTCTCGACTTCTCGTCGTCGTCGTCGTCGTCGTCGAATGTAATTTCTTCCTGCAACTGCCGAACGTGTTCTACTCTCCACACTCCACACTTTACTCTCTATTTCTATTCGAGGCTGAACACGACGGCGTGGTGCGCTGAACGGCAACGCAGCAGTTGGTCGGTCGTTGCTTCTCGACGAAAATCGTAATCGACGAGAAGAATCAGCAGGTGAGGGCTGAGTGGTGGCGGTTGGGTGGCGGTTGTCGGGTATGACTTTCGATTCTCGATGAGTCGATGCGATGCCCAAAAGCCTGCAGGTAGATGGTAGTGCACGGAAACGCTGATCCTGCTTGCTGCAATCGCCAATTCGATCAGAATGCGAGCTTGTTTATGGGGACGGCATACATATATGCCAAACGCCAAATATCTCGATAATAACTGATCACCATTAATTAGCCCCCAAGCGCGTCCTGAGACGTGAAACCATCGGACCGGCCATCTGCTGCCTGCGATCCGCGATACCCTAACTCTGCCCTCGGCTCAACCCCCCACAGACAACCGCCGTTTTTTATTTCATTTTTTCAACACTTCAACTAGCCTAACTGAGAAACTTGAATTTGAATTTGCACATTTCACTTGCCAACTCAAATACCAATAATAAAAAATATCAAATACCAATAAATACATTTTAAGAAACACAAGAAACAATTGCAAGGAATAGTAAAGAAGTTTTACTTTTATTGTAGGTACTTACTAGAGTTAAAATTATAAAAGAAAATGTAATAATCTATGCTGTTGATTCTAAAACATTTAATAATAAAGTAGTAATAAGAATAATAAAATGCATAAGGACTTCGGTTATTTACTCTAGGGACTATAATAACATTCACTCCCAATTACCGACTTTTCAGCCATTCCATTCTTTTGCCCCTTCCGACTCATTACGGATGCAAAAATCTCAAACATTTCGATAAATACATAATTATGTTTGTGAATATATCTGAACATTAAATGTTTTTAGCTAATAAACAATCTGTGATGTAGACTGTTGATCTACATTTATCTAAACATCAGCCTAAAAATACCAAATTATGAGAAAAAATTAATTGCCTCGAGATAAAAAAACATGTAACACAATGAATCCACAAATATATCTAACAAACGTCGAGTAACTGTAACTATAATAGATTTTGAAACGTGTTACATTTTAATTATTAATTATAAACCAGATAGTAAAATTATTTAATTAATATATCTATAAAATTTTAATTTCGTTTACATTTAATAAAAGTTTTTTATTCAGCACCATTTGCAGCTTTCATAATTAGATGGAACGAAGAAAAGACTTCAAAGCAAATGTTTAGTGACCAGAAATACCTGAACCTTGCTATAAGAAGTAGATAATTATATTTTATGGAGAAGTATGTTCTAGTCTTGTCGTCAACAATTTCTTGTTTTAGAACGGCAATAATTACTGAATATTTTCTTGTATAAACAAATGTGCCGGAGAGGCGATTGGTGTCAAGAAAACCGTAAAATTCTTGATAGTTTAAAAGTTATTGTCGAATTAATCTTTTTGCTATTTTTGTCTTTACCACCGATTTTCTCATGATCTCTTTTTTGAGATACGAAATTAAAAGTACTTTCCAAGGGTACAAAAAAAAGATAGTTATCGAAAATAATTTCAATTTCACCCGCTTCGGGTGCCAAAAATCTAAAATCCAAAATTTTGATAAAAATCGAAAAAATTAAAATCTTTAAAACCAAATAAACTTCTAGGGGTCCAAAAGACTTAGAAAAGTGCCAAAATGTTGTAAAACACTTAAAAATGCGTATAAGAGGTTATAGAATTGAAATAAAAAATCGATTTTTTTGTATTGTGACAAAAACAACTTTTTGTCGCACAAACTCTTGAAATATGATTTTTTTTTACGTAAAATTACACGCTGAACGCGTTTCAACAAGTTAAAATGCTCTACGATAAGTAGTTTTTGAGATATTGAGTAATAAAGTTAAGAAGAGGGCTTAGAGGAGATTAATTAGCGCGTGAAAATCTATCGCTTATCGGATAAGTTAGGTTTAAATATAATCTGAAACATGTTCAAAAAAGCCATTTATGAGAAAGGGGTATTCAAAAAATTTCACTCGTTTTTATATTGTTAATTGTTTTTCTCCTAATAAACTACATAAATAACTATTATCAAGATCTACTATGCGTCTTGAAATCATTTTAAAGCCATAAACAACGAGCTAATGAGGCGCAAATTTAGTTTAACCGAAGCACGTAGAACTCGTTTCGGTATGTATAAAATTTTTGAAAAATTGTCATGCTTTTGTACAAATTGTCCTTAATTTGAAAGGTTGATAGGATCCCGCTTCAAGAGCAGAAGCGCGGTAATGAACAAAAGCTTTGAATAATTGTGATTATTATCTGAAGCACCCCCATGTTAAGTGAATTTCAAAATTACGTTTTAAAAGCGTTTACAATACACCCCGTTAAAAAAAATTGTTTCGTTCATCTGATATAAACGACTAAATGTAGATAGTGATTTCATAAATAACGAGATGGACGAATTTGTTCATATGCAAAGCCAAAAAATATGTTAAAAGTTTGCAATTTCGTATTTTTCCCCATTAGACAAAGACTTTTTAATATGCTTTAAAAACAGGTACAGTTTTATATCAATAATTTTACAGACAGGGTGTTTTACACCGTCGGAAAAATCTATCAATTTTGGTTTAAAATCGCCATTTACATGAGTTTGTATAACATGCCTTCTACCTTATAAAAACAGAACAGAATCCTTGAAATATCTACTTTTTAAATATTTAAAGTAAGTATATACTTACCTTTAAAATTAAGCCAAAATCTTAGAAAAATCTTAATTTTAAGATATATCTTAAAAACAGGGCAAAATAATTAAAAAAAACAAAGTGTTCTAGTAGTAAGTACATAGTTCCAATTTAAATTCTCTTTCCAGCGAATTGGTTACATCTCTTTTATGTCTATCGATTTAATTTGCATTTCTTTTTCAGCCACATTTCTGGTTTGTTTCTACAAAATTACATTATTATTACTTTATGATGAACATTTTTGTAGTGAAGTACATAGTAGCTTTAATTACTTTTCTAAATTAAAGCGGAAAAGAGTAATCGGAGACTAACATCAATGACTCATCCCGTAAACTTTGGAGGAAAATACCATACTGGTGCAAATGTAAACATAACAAAAATTAAACGACTTAATGTATAAACAGTTGGCTCAAGGATAGATAATTGATAGAGATTTATTTACAGGAATTGCTGAAATATTTATTTTTTTGAACTATCATTTACAGTAGTAATATGGACACAGCAAGGAGAGTGAGGAGACAAGAGCTCCACTTCGTTTTCTAAACAAACTTCAGGAAATTAACGCCTGCTAAACACCACAATAAAATGTAACCATAAATTATTACGCAGATAAAACTTAAGTAACAATCTTTAAGTGGAAATAAAATAGAGTAAGTAAATTGATGCTCAGTAATTGCACATCTTACCACTGAATAAATTATGTATACTTAAAAATTTTGAGAAATTTCTTAAATTTCTCCACGGAGCTGATTAGAAAAATTCGAGTTAATTATTGAAATCACTAGTCGTAAAAGTAGTTAAGTAGTAATAGTCAATAATTAATTAATTAATTATTGACAAATTAACAAGTAATGAATTATGAGTTAGACATTTGCTGGCGACACTGAATTTTTTCAGCTCCAATTTGATCATCAATAAATTGATTTTAATTATTTTGTTAAAATGGCTATGAATAAAAATAAATAATCTACATGTGGAGCAGAGTATTTAATTCTTAAATTATGATGATGTAGTGTAATATGATAAAACATTTCCGGACAAATATTTGTAGAAAACTTTTGTTATAAGACAATTACATAAGTTTTTGTGAAGTTTTTTGAAAAGTTGCTTCCGGTGTTAAGTGGTAAAATGAAGTGCAATTTAGTAAATTTGGACACATTACTAAAATCGTTATGTTGTACAAAAAGGTTTTCTGACGAAGTTACATTATTACCTACTTAAAGTTGCACATTTTCGCCTATTTCCAAGTGGTGTAAATTTCTCATCTATTGTTGGTGTTTATTTGTTAGTAAAGTTTGATTTATTGCATTTATTCTAAATAACGTTTGAAAGTTTTGTCTTTAGAGAGAGGTCCAACGCATTGTTTGAACTTTCAGGAAATTACGAATAATGGGTGCTTTTGTGCAAAATTTTGCGGTTTTACTTTTAGGATATTCATATATCAGTTCATTTCACTACCTGTATTAGAAAAGGCGATAAGACCACCCTTTAATTCACATTAACAATAGAAATAATTAAGTCAGAACGTATGGTGGACATTTTGCTTTTTCAACAATATTTTGTATGGAATAGTAGAATATAAAATGTTACTTCTGGACCAGGATATTTGGCGTCTTAAAAAACAAGACAGAATCTTACAAATTTAGCTGTTTGCCCAAAAACTAAACCTAAAAACCTAAAAAACTAACAAAATACCTTGTTTTTACAAACCCCAAAATGGCTTTTTACTTCTGGACCAGGACATTTGGCGTCTTAAAAATCAAGGTTGAATCTTACAAATTTAGCTGTTTTCCCAAATGTCAACAACCGAAAAAGGCCTAAAACCCTTCAAAAACCATTAATTTTTATTCACCAAATATCCTGGTCCAAAAGTAACATTTTATATTCTACTTGGAATGTTATTTGAAAAATCTGACAAGTTGTACGCCTGGCTACCAGTGATACCGGTGAACTTGTTTCGAAAGTTAACCGACTTTAACACCAAACACTTGCACGGTGTCACCATCGTTTTGTTTATGTTTTGCTTCAATCAAGATGTAATATGATAACATCGGACTTAAACTTCGGTAGCCCTAAATGAAAAGTTCTTATAGTGTGAGTTCGCTAGACTTGAAAAAATCTAATTAATTACCTTAAATTGACTATGTTAACCAATAAAATACGCCGCATAAAAGACACCTTTACGAGCCAAACCAACAAACAATTCTAAAATTACCCAATTTAATAGAACACTTGCATTTTTTCAAAAATTTTAACTATGACATGTAAACATGTAAAAAGTAATAGAATCTGTTATAAAAATGACAATTTTAAATATTTATACGTTGACACGGACTATAAGCAGAACGTATCTTGTTTCATCAATGTTTTTTATGGTCCATTTTGCAGCAGGGCAAACTTCACACCAAAAGATTTTAACCTTCGAGAAATTTTATATTCGCTAAAAATATGTAAAAAATCGCACGTCCCCATGAAAATAATTATGCCGCTTTGGCTTGATTTGATCTTATCGAATGAATTTTTTAATCGAATGTTTTAGACACATTTCTCAACCAATCAACGCCGCTACTCGACCACATAGGGAAAAGCGGATAATAATCATTCAATTCATCAACTTCACTATAAATTAGCAGATAATTTACAATCTGAAATACAAAACGCATAAATTGCTTAAATTAACAACGTAACAACAGCGCAACAAAGAAACACATTTAATTTAACCACATCTCAGTTATTTCGGTTTGTTTATGATCTCTTTAAAAGTTACATACCACAAGTTGTAGAAATTCCCGGCGCCTATGTTATGTAAACAAACAAACAAACATTAGACAAGGACTCACTAGCTAGGCCATTTACAATTCACCCCAAATCAAATTCCATATATTACAATTATTACTCTAATTACAAATTACAAAAAGATTAAAAATTTAAAATTGAAAGTAAAATAATAGTTAAGAGTAATGCGAATTTCGTAAATTTTTCTTTTATTATAAAACTCAAATGTGTTACAATTTATTGTACATAGTCATATTTTCCTATTTAGTTTAATATTTTATTTTATAACATTAAAAGTATTTTAAGTTTTAGGTTATAACAAAGATTAAAATAGATAAAGAGTAAAATAAACAAAAATGATAAAAATAAAAGAGAATAAAATTAATATATCTTTTTGTCAAGTAAAAATATTATTCCAACAAGAGGCAAGATGGGGAAAATTTAACACTAGCTTTTGAATCCTTCTGGCTACCTTTACTATTCCTAAGAAAATGGCAGTTGATTTATGCAACACTTTGTATAGATATGTCATTTTAGTAAATTATTTGCAGATAATTTTTGAGATACAAAAAAAAATAAAATGTAAAATGTACCTATACAAGAGTTTGCAGCTCAAAATAATGATTGAACATTTAGTTTTGTTCAATCTTTCAAATTAAAAAAAATGTTTTTTGTTCAAACAACCAAAAAGAAAAATTTGTAACAGCAACACATTTTAAGAATAAATAACTATGACCAGTCGATTAGATTGCTGGATTTTTAACAAAAGAAATTGCCAATGGTTAAAACTCATCATCCCGAAACAAAGTAATTCTGATTTACGGTATATTAAATGCCACTCAAAAAATGAAGTTCTTTCAAAGTGTGTGGCATTATTCACCATCACCTGAGTTTAAGTAATTTAATTGCATTCATTTCTGCAGCACCTCGACACTAAATAATCTAAACACTGAATACATTCAAAGACCAAAATAGATTAATTTCAGTCCAAATCTCCTAATTCCATTACAAAACGAAAAAAAAATGGGAAATGGTTTTTGTAAAGTGCTCGTAGGACAATTTAGATCCGGTGTACCTCCATGAAGTGATATCTAACGTCTTTATAAAAAGGTCGTAGTTGGCAAATTCTATAAAAAAACGGCAGTTATATCCAGAAATGGGTTTGCACAGGTCCTAATTCTAAATCGATATTCAATTAACTTCGTTTTTTGGTATATTTACGTGTACTTGATGGAGTTTTAGTCCTGTAAATAAATGACAAAACCTATAATTTGATTGATTGTGATATTAAAAAAAAAACTCTGTCTTGTCATATGCGTGTTTTTGGAATATGTATGTATGTATGTGGTCAAGTGTGGACGTGTTGGTGCGTTGAGGCGTTTTTTTGGAGCTTATAGGAACTTAATACCAGCAATGTGTCAGTGACAGTCCGTCATTCCAAGCGAGTAGAATTGAATCAAGCGTGTTATAATTTGACACTTGTTTTCGCGTCTACCGCTTTTGCCTCATATACTACTCGGCTTTGCTTTCCTTTCACATGGAACGACTTGATTTCTTCTCCGACAAAAAACATTTAACATTTTAATAATGTAGACACAAATTGACGTTCAAATAGAAAATAGAAGAGCCATTTTAGCAGAAAGTTTTCGGTTGTGATAGATTTTATTTGAAATATAAAAAATATAAATGAATGCTTCTGCACAGGAGAGTTAACAAAACATTTTCTAAAATTTTCGGTTTAATTCCGGATGAAAAACGACAGGGTTTTTGTTTGGAGTCCCTTTTTACTTTCAATTGACCGTTTGACACTACACTGCCATATCAAATTACTAAATTATATTAAATATTTTGAATGAACCCGTTCGAAATGTCAATATAAGTTCGTACATCTGTCGCTCTTGCAACGTGTTTTATTAATTTCCATCTTCCTTTCTGCGTGCATTGAAATACAACATCCAGTAGCAATCAATTCTGAATTAATAGTTAGCGGTTCCAAAATATGGCCTCGCATTAGTAGTTATGTAAATGTTACTTCTGAACCAGCCAAATTGGAATGTAAAATACGAAACGTATTTTTTATTAGGTATACCTACTTAGTATAAATATTTATTTTTGAAAATTATTCCAAGAATTATTTCACGTTTATTTAAATTACAAGTAAGTACATCTATTTTAACAATGGAATAATCTAAATGTTTACGTAATTTCGCGTTAAAAAATTCTTTTTTTTAATTCGACATTTTACTACAAAACTAACATTATTTGTGATAAATTACCTCCTGCAAATTGGAATTCAAATAAAAACAAACGTAGTATAACAGAATAAACCGGCTAATTAGTTTATATGTTTTTTTAATTAATAAATTCAGTCCAATAATTTACTGATATCAAAATTTGTCTCAAAAATGTCTTATTTTGATTTTTTTTAAATTGTCAATTATAAATTAATAAGCAATTGCATATATAAATTGTGAAATAAATAGAGATATTTAAATAAACTGAGTAAATGACATACCAGGTGAATAAAAAGTATGGAACGAAGCGTTTTTCTCGTAAACTAACCACTTTACAAAAAAAAAAAATTAAAATGTGACCATTTATCAAGAATAACATTTTTCGAAATTTTTTTTAGTTTTCGGGTTTTAGAAAAAAATTTTTTTTTTTTAAATGGCAACCCACCATGATATTTTTTTTAATTAAAGATTATGATCTAAAAATGACCTTTAATTAAATAAAATTGTTTTTTAGCCAGTACTTTTTTTTAAATTAATTGTTAAAGTTGCGTTCCGAGCTCATCACGAAGATTTTCCGAACTTAACCGAAGTGGTTGTTTCATGCTTTTCATCATGGGAGAGCGCTGATTTCTATGCATGTGCTTTGGGGTGGTTTCGAATGGACTAAAAATAGTAGAAAATGATTTGTTTTTCCATTTTTTGATCCATCCGGAACCACCCCAAAGCACCTGCACCAAAAACCCGGCTCTCCAACGACCAGTCATGAAACGACTCCCTCGTTCAAGTTCGGAAAATCTTCGTGATGGGCTCGGAACGCAACTTTAACAATTTATTTAAAAAAAAGTACTGATTAGAAAACGCTTCGTTCCATACTTTTTATTCACCTGGTATGTTGAACAGTTCAAAATTAAATACATTCAATAATATTAAATGTTTTTGGTTTATTATAAATAAAATCTACAAATATAAATTTATTTAATATAAATGATCGATTTTATTATAAACGGGTATAAAGAGCGACCGCTTACAGCGAAACCGTCAAATGTCACGAATGTTTCACCAAGATAGATTTTTTTTAATCACTAGATAGATAAATTCGAATAAGAACAAGAAACGCTAAGAATTTTGAAATTATAAACATAACAAGCTTAAGAGCTCAAAATTGGACTGCACATTAGGTTTTATTTATTATTCATCTCATTGGTATTAAGAAACTTTTTTATTTTTTTTAATTTGCTTTTAACTTTTAGATGTGATATAATAATAAAACTAGCGTTAAAATAATTAGAATTTGTTATTTTTTACAAGTTAAATAAAATTATTGTCAACTTTATGTTTGGATAAATCAAGGCCATCTGAATCAACAAGCTACGCTTATAAGGCCGTTTCAATTTTCGATTTTTCCATATAAACTTTGTTTCTGTGACATTTCGGGCGTCAGTACCTTATTGCGCTCCATCTACCGATTTCCATCGCAGTCGATCGAGAGTTTTTAGACTTTTTATTTTTAGGTTAAGTGCTTAAAACATCAATTAAAACATGAATGCTATAAAATATCCAAGATCCGAGCTTATTTTAGGTACATTCTGGACTAGCAAAATACTAATAAATTAGAATTACAATAAAACATGAAATCATAACACGATGTAGGTTAGAACAATTTATAACTTCAATATTTTTCTGCAAAGTGGTTTGTTTGTTGAGTAATCCGTAATTTTTGTAGTGTCTTTAAAATTACAAAAACAAAGTAAAAGGTTGTCCTTATCATTGTCTGCATAAATTTGCTTACCGCAAAACGTTTCAAAAGTTTCGCACCATTTTTGCCTTTGTTGCATATTGCTCAGAATTTCAAATAATCGAACACTTTTTGCCCCACAAATGAAACACGGTTTTTACCATTTTATACCATTATTTTGTAAAATTGAAGGGCATTGTTTTAAATTGCCGCCAATGTTTATTCGTTAATCGGCCACCGAGGGCGCACAATAAGGTTCTGAATTTTTTGTTTTTATGGCCACTCTGCAGAAACAGTTATCATGGAGAATGAAACGGCCTTATAAGAGCAGCTTTTTGATTCAGATGGCCTTGGGATAAATTGTATTGATGCGCCATCTGTCACTTCTGAATTAAACTAACCCGACCGGAAATATGTCGACAATCCTAGTAACTTTTATTACATGGGGTTGTTGACATTCTAGTTTTATATTTGTCATTTGTTTACTTGTCTAATGCCGCACCTAAAAATGTTAAATAATTCTAAAATAGCACAAAATTAGTTAAGTTTGTTGTTAAGAAAAAATTGCTACATTCTGGGCCATGTTTGAAAATGTGTGTTTTTCTATGATTTTATTGAATGATGTGTCAATGTTGATTTTTTTTCTAGATTGAATAAATTATTTTCTTTCAGTAAAAATTGCAAGTAGAGTTCTTGAAATGGCTGGAACTGATCGAGTTTCGTTAAGTGATGCGTTATCCAATGTTGATGTACTAGATGAGCTCCCATTGCCTGATGAACAACCATGTATTGAAGCCCAACCTTGTTCAGTTGTTTATCAGGCGAATTTTGATACAAATTTTGAAGATCGGAATGGATTTGTGACAGGAATTGCTAAATATATCGAAGAGGCAACAGTACATGCAAGTCTTGTAATTATTAAATAGGCCATGTGTGTCCCCTGTTTCAATGATGATGTCATTTATAGAATGAATTATTAGAAGAAGGGCAGGAACATGCTGTTATGCTTTATACGTGGAGGTGCTGCTCTAGAGCCATACCCCAACCCAAATCTAACGAACAACCAAATCGAGTTGAAATTTATGAGAAAACCGTTGAAGTACTTGCCCCTGAAGTTAACAAACTTTTGAATTTTATGTATTTTCAAGTAAGGTCCAAATTTTAACCAAATTAAGACTTACTTTATTTTTCCAGAAAAAAGCAATCGAACGTTTTTTTGAAGAAGTAAAACGATTATGTCATACAGAAAAGAGGAAGGATTTTGTGTCAGAAGCGTATCTTCTCACTTTAGGAAAGTTCATAAACATGTTTGCTGTCTTGGATGAGTTAAAAAACATGAAATCAAGTGTAAAAAACGACTATTCCACATACAGAAGAGCAGCACAATTTCTAAAAGTCATGTCTGATTCACAAACGCTTCAAGAATCGCAAAACTTATCAATGTTCTTAGCTACACAAAATAAAATTAGAGATGCTGTTAAAGAAAATTTAGAAAGAATCAGTGGCTATGAAGAATTACTTGCTGATGTTGTCAACATATGTGTACACATGTTTGAAACAAAAATGTATCTCACACCCAGTGAAAAACACATGCTTGTCAAAGTTATGGGGTTTGGACTTTTTTTGATGGACAGCGAATTGTGCAATATTAATAAGCTAGACCAGAAGAAAAAACTAAGGCTGGATCGCATTGATCGGATCTTCAAAGTGAGTAGTAGCCACATACTTTATTCAAAAGGAAAAATCTAACAATTTAAAATTTATTTTATTTTTAACTGCAATTTTTGTTTTATGATAATTCTAGTCTAAACTGGAAAAGCAAAACATCTGGGATTTAAAAAATTGTAATATAGAATTTTAAAAAAAGTTTGCGTGTTTTTGTAGTTTCAATTAAAACAAACGCTGAAAATATATTTTAAAAAAATCCAACAATTTTATTTGTCTAGTGTTGTTATCAATAATATGAAATAAAAGACAGTATTGTGCTTGTGGTGAGGCAGTTTTTTTTCGTAGAACTTGGAGGTTGTTCCTTTATTCGGAGACATGCAAATAGCTCCTTTCAACTACATAAAGCGAAGCAAACATTTCGATCCAAGCAAATGGCCTTTATCAAGTAGCAATACTCCTTCTCCCCAAGCCGATTTAATGGTACATTTACCTCAAATTCGTGACGATCATGTTAAATACATAAGCGAGTTGGCGCGATACAGTAACGAAGTCACGACAACATACAAAGAAAGCGGTACTGACGGTGAAAATAAAGAAACAGCCGAACTTGCACTCCGAGGATTACAATTACTGTCTGAATGGACAAGTGTTGTAACGGAATTGTATTCATGGAAGCTTTTACATCCAACTGACCATCATCAAAATAAAGAATGTCCACAAGAAGCCGAGGAATACGAAAGGGCGACACGGTATAATTACAGTGATGAAGAAAAATTCGCTTTAATTGAAGTCATTGCGATGATTAAGGGATTGCAAGTGTTGATGGCTAGAATGGAAACGGTGTTTACCGACGCGATTAGGCGAAATATTTATGCCGAATTGCAAGATTTCGTACAGATTATTTTGAGGGAACCGTTGAGAAAAGCAATCAAAAATAAAAAAGATCTTATCAGAAGGTAGTCTATTTTTTGTGTCTGTGAATATAGATTTATCTATCACAATTTTTTAGTATCATTATGTCGGTGCGTGAAACTTGTGCTGATTGGCAAAGAGGTGTTGAACCGACACAAGATCCGGCTTTAAGAGGCAAAAAAGATGATAACGGATTTAATGTTAAAGTTCCAAGGAGAAATGTTGGTCCTTCTTCGACTCAACTTTACATGGTTAGGACAATGTTGGAGTCTCTAATTGCCGATAAGTCAGGCGGGAAAAGAACCTTGAGGAAGGACATAGACGGTCAATATTTAATGCAGATTGATCAGTTCCACAAAACTTCCTTCTACTGGAATTATCTTTTAAGTTTCAGTGGTATGTACCTATTAATTTATTCGAATCGAAATCTAAATTTAATTTTTATTTAGAATCGTTGCAACAATGTTGTGACTTGTCACAATTGTGGTACAGAGAGTTTTATCTCGAAATGACAATGGGACGAAGAATAAACGTAAGTAAATGACTTAAAACTGTACTTAAGTTTTGTTTAAAATTTTATAGAAATGTACTGTACGTCATAATCATAATGAAGAATGTAACGATTTGATCACAATGGAAAAACGTATACAATTTCCAATCGACATGTCAATGCCATGGATTTTGACTGATCACATTTTGAAAACAAAAGAACCGTCAATGATGGAATACGTTTTGTACCCACTTGATTTATACAATGACAGCGCTCTTTACGCATTGACGATATTCCGAAAGCAATTTTTATACGATGAGGTCGAAGCTGAAGTTAATTTATGTTTTGATCAGTTTGTTTATAAATTAAGCGAGCAAATTTTTGCTTATTATAAACAACTTGCGGCTAGGTATTAAACAAAAAATTTCTTTGGAACGTTGTTTTTTCAGTGAGTTTTTTTAGTATTTTTCTTGATAAACGCTTCAGAGTGGAATGTGCCGCGTTAGGGGCTTACCTACTTCCGTATCCGCGAGCAAATCGTTATGAAACCTTACTAAAACAAAGACACGTTCAGTTGTTGGGCCGATCTATCGATTTGAACAAGTTAATCACTCAAAGGATTAACACCGATATGCAAAAAAGTCTCGATTTAGCCATAAGTAAATTTGAAGGAGGTGACATAACCGGTGTTATGGAATTGGAAGGTTTGTTACAAGTGAATCGATTGTGTCATAAATTGCTGAGCAAATGGCTTGCACTTGATGATTTCGATTCAATGTATCGTGAAGCTAATCATAATGTTTTGGCTCCATATGGCCGAATTACTTTGCATGTATTTTGGGAGTTGAATTATGATTTCTTGCCTAATTATGTCTACAATGCGGCGACGAACAGATTTACTAAATATAGAGGACAGATCGCTTTTACGGGGGCTGTCCATAGAGATAAGCCGCCGCAAATGTCGCATCATTACATGTGGGGGAGCAAACAACTAAATCTTGCCTACACGATTCAATATGGTCAATATTCTGGTAAATATATATACCTTACGATTTTAATTTGGATTGAACATTTACGATTTAGGTTTTGTTGGACCTCAACATTTTCACACAATGTGTAAACTTTTGGGTTATCAAGGCATTGCAGTTGTTATGGAGGAACTTCTTAAAATTGTCAAAAGTCTGATTCAAGGAAACCTCCTCCAGTTCACAAAGACTCTAATGGAAGTCATGCCAAAGCAGTGTAAATTGCCACGTTACGACTACGGTTCACCGGGTATTTGATTATTTATTTACTTTTGTGTAAATAAAACACTGAATTTTAGGAGTTTTGAGTTACTATCATGCCCAATTAAACGATATTGTTCAATACCCCGATGCAAGAACTGAATTGTTCCACAATTTCCGAGAATTTGGGAACATTATTTTATTTTGTTTATTGATGGAACAAGCTTTATCACAGGAGGAAGTGTGTGATTTGTTGCAAGCGGCTCCATTTCAGAATATCCTTCCACGGCCGTATTGCAAAGAAGGAGAGAAGCCAGAAACGAAACAAAAAAGACTTGAAGCCAAATATGCCGCCTTGCAAATTGTACCAAATATAGAAAAGTTAGGAACTGCAAAGGTGTTTATCAACTATTTATATTTAAACAGTTTTTATTTCTTTCATTTGTAGCAATCTTTGATATCAAAAGAAGGTGATTTATTAACACGAGAAAGGTTGTGCTGCGGTCTTTCGATTTTTGAAGTTGTTCTAAATCGATTAAGGACTTTCTTGGATGATTCGGTTTGGGTTGGACCACCTCCTGCTAATGGTGTCATGAATGTCGATGAATGTACTGAGTTCCATCGCTTATGGTCAGCTCTTCAATTTGTTTATTGTATTCCAGTCAGCGAGAATGAATATACTGTCGAGTATGTTTTTCAACTTATTATTTCGTTTCGTTTTTACTTATTTGAATTACAGAGAAATGTTTGGTGAAGGTTTGCATTGGGCAGGATGTACAATGATTGTGCTTCTCGATCAGCAAAGGCGATTTGAAGCTCTCGATTTTTGTTACCACATTTTAAGAGTACAAAGAGTTGATATGAAGGATGAAATTGTCAAAGGCATTGTATGTTAGCCAAATTATTTATTATTTTTATACAAATTTGTGTTTTTCACAGAGTCTGAAAAGGATGGTGGATAGAATTAGACGTTTTCAAGTGCTTAATTCGCAAATCTTTGCGATTTTGAACAAGTTTTTGAAGTCGAGTGAAAACGATGAATTGTCAGTTGAACACGTACGTTGTTTTCCGCCACCGGTCTACCCTATGAATCCCCAACAGCATTATCATGCACCTGAACATCTACGCCAGTGTTAAAGCACGTTTTTTACTTTATACATTTGTTGAAATGAAGCTTTTCAACGTTTTATAATCTTTTATATTTATTAGTCTTACTACATGTGTAAATCTCCATTACAAATGTATCGCCCACCTTCATTTATTATCGGCCTTATGGTATTGCTTTAATTTTTTCATAATAAAATTTTCGATGCCTGCTTAAGTTTGTTTCATTTCGCGCGCCATTTTACATTTAGTGCCACCAACTTTGCGAGAGATTTTTTTTCCGTTGTGTTGGTAACAGTTGATAGCAGCTGTTTGTAGTGTGTTGATAGCTATGGTTGACAGAAGTTGAAGAAAGATTTGTCAAACTATAGAAAATAATTCAATAATTTTGTAGTATTTTCTGTATTTTGAAAAATTTTGACAATGACAATTTTACCAACTAAAAGACCTTCGGCGAATCCTGAGGAGAAAAGCGACAATAGCCAACAAAATGTGAGTAGATATGTTAAACTTGTCATTTTTGATCTTTTTTTAAGGAGAAACTCCATAATCATAAATCGTGTTATCTTTATTGTCAGCGTATTGGACTAGCGAAATCTTTACTTGATCTTGAAATTTTGTACACGATTGTGTAATTAGATAGGTTTAATAATGTAATAATGTAAAATAGGTAGGTAATAGATTGCTTCCCAATAATACCAGCTTAAGAAGCTGTCCAGATTGGTTTCCTTTGTTAGAAATAATCAAGGCAAGACTTTTTTTAGGGAAATTCCGAGCGAACTGTGCGTAGGAGAGATGACATAAGTTCTTTAAATGAGGCAAGCCCTTCAAATCGACGATCTCAATTCCCTTAGTAAGATTTTCACCCTTAATCAAATAAAAAAAAAAACAAGTTTTTTCCAGTGTCAAATCAACAACTGAACGGAAAGAACGTTTGAGGAAACGATATAAAGAACCAGATCGACCGCGAGATCGGGAACGCGAACGTGAACAAAAACGGGAAGTTAGGAGAGAACAAAAACGGGAAAGAGTTGCTAAACGCGATATCTCAAATGAACCTTTACATGACAATAATGCAAATAATTCAGTTGTTGACTCTGTTGTTGTTGAACCCACTTGCAATAACAACGAACCTGGGACTGCTAATAAGGAAGATTACACGGGATTTAACAGCGAGGATGAATATGACGATCAAGGACTCCTTAAAGAGCGAAACATACCAGATGAAGAGTGGCAAAAAAGAGATGTTTTATTTTCACGCGGCATGTCCAACCTTGGTTTTGAAATCAAACAAATGAATGAAGATGGAGCTTGTCTCTTCCGCTCTATAGCAGACCAAGTGTACGGCGACCAAGAATTCCATTATCAAGTCAGGCAGGATTGTATGAACTATATTGTGAGTATTTTACAAAATTAGGTTTTTTTTTAAATTTGTATTTTTGGAAGGTTCAAAATCGTGACTATTTTGAACCTTATGTGACGGAGGATTTTGATAAATACGTTGCACGAAAACGTATATGGAACGTACATGGAAATCATTTAGAAATTCAAGCAATGAGCGAGTTATATAACAGGACAATCGAAGTTTATTGCTACCAAATAAGTAACTTTTATGCCTTTTCTGTCTGGATTTTTTTTAACTAATCCTAAATTTCCAGCACCAATCAATATATTCAATGGTTCAAGATTAATAAATTCATATGAGCCTATTAGATTGTCGTACCACAGGATGTGTCATTATAATTCTATTAGTAACCCAAATAAACCATCAGTAGGGGTAGGTTTAGGTTTACCTAATTACCATACCGTTGATATTGACAGAAGAAGATTCAATGACGCTCTTCGTGCTAGTGATGAGTTGCTAATTGAACAGGTAAACCAATCAAAAATTATTTCTATTTATATAAAATTTATGTTTATAATAATACAGTCAACAGTCACTGTCATTTTTCATAAGAATGTTGCTAAAGCTTCTGACAGTAACTGTACCAGTATGGGTGTCATTACCTACTCACCATATACAGTGGCGTACCAAAACAAAAATCTGTTCGTTTTTTATTTTCCGCCAATAAACGGATTGAAAAAACAACACGCGGTGATTTAATCATCAGTTTTTCATTTGTATGATTAATACCACTGTAATTTTATTAAAAAAAGAAAAAAAAACACACACACACACACACACTACAAGCCGGTTATGAAACTCATATTTTGTAGATTTCGATGGTATAATCAATCGTTTTTGTCATTCTCTAATCAATTATTTTGTTTTTTTTTGTAGAATCGCGCAAAGGGCCCAGTCGGAATCGCTTCCTCACAAGATTTGGCACAAATTTTATTTTTCACAATGAAATTTTAAATATGGAACGTAAAAATGAATAAAATAAAATTTTACTCGAATGAAATCATAGGCGAAATCACAATTAGTTTTTGTTAATAAATATTTATTTTTCGTGTTTTTGTTACGCCACTGAAAAACCTCATGTTGCGCACCAGGTAAGATACGGTGGTAAGGCCACTTATCTAATGCCCCCTCTTTTGTTGAAAGATACAAAATAGTTAGATAATGAAACTTAAGCGTGGGGTTTGCCCTCTGATGGGCGGAGCGCAGCTGCAGGAGTACGTACACAAAGGAAGGGGGTCATAAGGCAGTAGCGTAACAAGGAGGGAGTTTCATTTTATAACATTTTTAACTCTATAGGTTTCTACAAATTATTTCGGCTAGGTCGTAACGCTGATAAAAAAAATGCCCTCATTTGTTTCATAAATTTTAAATAATTTGGTGTTGATGTGTTTGTAAAAAATGGGTTTGTGACTTATTATTAGCTTTTATACAGGCTGTTTTCAACAACTTATCGGAAAAAATTTAACAACATAATTATACAATTTTACATGAGAAGTCAGAAACAGAAACTGAAATTTTTAGGCAAGTGCACTATAATATACTATACAAGGGCAAAGAGTCACAATAATTCTTAAATACATTCAAAAATTTCTCTCTACTAAAGCCATTTATAAATCAAATTTCAGCGCATTAGCTTAGTTTACTAATGTGAGGTTATGCATACCATTTTATCGATAAATTTACAACCTGGGATTGTTGTTTTGTCTTCAATATTCTTGTGTTTTCCCATTTTAAATATAATTTTGATTGCCACAAAGTTAATTAATGCACAAATGTTAATAACAATATTTAAAATTACTTGTTGTAGAGCAGTGCTACCACACCACCAAATTGGATTTGCCAACTTTGAAAAACTAGTAACCACATTATGCCTATGAAAATTTTGAAATCAAATACAATAACAATGATAAAATGAGGTCTTTGTATACATTTTTATTCAAAATTTATAAAATAGAAATTTTTATCGTTGTAAATTTCATGAGAAGTAAGTAGCTACTAGATGGCGCTAAAACACCACCAGCGCCGATTGGCTCTTGAGTGGCCTTCATGGGAAATACTCGAGGAAATATTTGCGAGATTAAATTTTTCTGTCGTGATTTATATATGGAGATAAGTGTTGTTATTAATTACTAACTAGTAGTTTTCGATTACAAAGTTTATTAAATTTTTTTCGCTTGTCATTATTACCGCTGTGTTGGACCGACTAAGGCGCAATTTTTAAAAACCGTAATTTTGGCCTCTGATTGGCTGATTAGATAATAGCGTTGACTAATCAAATTTTTTCTAGACCATGTTAGAAGACAAGTTGAAGGCAACAGACTTCGAAGCCACTAACGAAGCCATTGAAGAACAAGTCGCTCGCGAATCTTATATCCAGTATTTTCGCGACTCAGAACGCCGTTTGAAGAACCAAGGGCACTCTTGTGGTAGCAGTTCAACAATAACATCAGCAACAATGTCCAGCTCGCGCTCATCAAGGAAAGGTTCGGTTTCACCTAAGGGATCTCAATCTCCCAAAGGACCGAATTCGCCAAAGACGACGCCATTAGGTATTCAAACGTGAGTCGTTGGCGTTTCTTAACATTTTTTTGCAGCAAGCCCCAGAAGTGCCAGTATTTCTTCCCCATCGACTAGCAGATACGAAGGCGATGGAAATGGAGGTGATGTTGCTGGAGCCTGCGGTGGACCTCCGGAGGAATTTCCGAAATTCTCTCCGCGTCGTGCTGAGCCACCAGCTGAGGATATTAATCACCCGGACTACGACGAGAACTTCTCCGAGGATTTTAAATTTGATTTTGATACTAGTGATTCGGATCAGGCAGCTGGACCATCACACCGGGCTGATTTAGGTTAGATTTTTTATTTTATTTTATTTTTTGAGTTTTGAACAAGATGGCGGCCGAAGTAGCGTCGTGTAGGGTGGCGTATTTTTGCTTTTCATATATGAGATCTTTGAAATCAAAAGGGTTAGAAAAAACGAATTACATATTTTTGAACACAATTTATTTTATTTTATTTTGGTCAAAACCGCATTCCTCTATCATTTTTTGGATTTGACACAAGGGACTATATTTCGTGTTTTTGGAGTGGTGAATGTGAATTTGATATTTGTTTATGTTTTTATTGGAGGGATTTTGATAAAATTACATTGAATAATTACATTTTTTAAATATACATATTATACTTATTAGTTATATTACAATAATTTGATGTTTCTCGATGTTGACTCAATATGTCGAAATAGAATAAAAAACACAGAAATTACATACTTATATAATCACCTAACTTATACCCTTATATCGACTTAAATACTGATGGGACTTCAAAAATTCTTTGTTTTTTTTTTTTTTAAGCCATGTAAGGTAAGATGCCTCAATGCCTTCGTCCTCCTAATTAGATACAGCGTCATAAAATTACTCCTGATGCAGACTTTTATAAATTTATGTCGCAAGTCTTTTGCTTCCTCCAAAAGCCATTTCGGACACAGATCTAATAGGAACTTATTGTCTTATTTTGACCTCGGGAACCATCCCCAAAAATCTTTCAACGTTTTTTTTTCACACTCTGTATTATAGATTAAAAAAATAATTCGTTTATTAAAGTTGCCAATAAAAACACTGAAATACAGCTGAAGAAAGAACTTCAACTGTGATTTTTTTTTAAATCCTTGGATAAAAAATTAAACGAATTCCAAATTTGCATTCTGTGTTGGACAGTGTTTTTAAAAAAATACGATATGCAATTGTCGCAGGTTTATAATTATTTATTATTATTTAGATAAAATAGGTTTTTCATATTTTTAGTGCACTAGTGAAAGTAAATATGTAATTACAAAAATAAAATGCAACACAAAATACACTCTACATATAATTATTTACATGTGATAATGTATTTTGTGTTTTGTTTTATATTTGTAACGGTCATCTTATGTGAATGTGAATATATGAACATACAGGGTTATTCATAAATATGAAGCAATATTTGAACCTCAAAAACGAGCTATAAAATGATGTTAATTTAAATAATAACTCGTGTCCTATCTCTACTGATAAGAATTTTACAGCCCTCGAAATGTGGGTATGGAAATTTGTTTTTTTTTGTAATAACTTCAGAACCATTTGACCAAATATTATAAAATTTGGAATGGTTACTTGCGAGAACATATCCTTTAGGCTAGTAATTATGAAAACCGGATACATTTACTCAATTTCCAGTTTCAGCAGTTGCAGGTCACATTTTCTGTGTTTTTTCGTTTTTTTGGTCTCTTAACACTAATTTTTTATTGCTTAAATCTAAAGAGTAATCAATTTCGATTAAAAAACGCATAACCTTTTATACCACTAAAATGGACCGTTAAGATATTTAAAGTGAGGACTGCACAACGGTGAAAATGAAAAATATGAATTTTGAATAAGTGGTATCCACGGCAACCAATGACCATAGTCACATAAATCCCTGCCAGGCATCTGTTAACTTTGACGATAAATCTTTGTGATTTTTTTTATGAATTAAATGCTACAAAATGCATTTATTCTAAGTTATGTTTACTCTTTTATTAAATATTTTCGATTAATCGTCTAATATTCCTCCAAGTTGACAGATGCCATTTGTTGCCGTGGATATCACTCATTCAAAATTCATACTTTTTGCTTTCAGTGTTGTGTAGTTCTCACTTTAAATTAAAATATCTTTAAAACGGTCTATTTTAGAGGTATTAAAGGTTATACGTTTTTTTTATTCAAAATTGATTACTCTATTGTTTTGACCAAAAAAAAATAAATATTAAGAGGCCAAAAAACGAAAACACACAGAAAATGAATGACCTGCAATTGCTGAAACTGGAAATTGAGTAGATGTATCCGGTATTCGTAATTACTAGTTTAAAAGGTATATTCTCGCAAGTAACCATTCCAAGTTTTATAATATTTGGTCAAATGGTTCCGAAGTTATTACAAAAAAAAAACAAATTTTCATATTCACATTCCGAGGGGTGTAAAATTCTAATCAGTAGAGATAGGACACGAGTTATTATTTAAATTAACATCATTTTATAGCTCATTTTTGAGGTTTAAATATTGCTTCATATTTATGAATAACCCTGTATAAAATGTACTTCCTAACTCAAATATAGGACAGACATGTTTATTTCGTTTGTTTTTGTTGTATATTTAATTTTTTTGTTTCAAAATCATAAATTCAATTGATTTAGCATAATTTTATTTTTACAGATTACGACGATTATGATCAGGAAATCATGGCTCAAGTGCTGGCCGAGTCGCGCAAAACTTACTTAGCTGAACTTAAACAGCGATCCAAGAAGCGTCATGGATCTCCGGGACCATCTACTTCATCCTAGTTTAAATACTAAATTATAAATTAATTCAGTTGATGTTCATACATTTGTTTAATTTTTTTAAATTAAGGTTTCTTGTTTGTATGCTACTGCTTTGTTTTGTTATTTAAAAGGCAAACTTTGTAAAATTGTATTAGTATATTTTAATGGTTTTTTGTTAAAACGACCTTCCTTTACATATAAATTAATATTATTTTTGGAATAAGAGTTGTAATATTTTAACGTTTTGTAACATAGTTTTTGATTTTGCATGCATAGTATAGGAGGGTCGTTTGTTGGAAAAAAATTCAAAATGTTATATTTTGGGGACACTGCTTCAAATACGAATAGTAAATTTCGTGCTTTCAAGAAGTTTCAGTGTCAAAAAGTATTTTATTTATGTTTTGAGATATCTAAGTATAAGTACTTATGAGTTCCATGTATTTCAGTTTCGTTCGAATAAAATTGTTGTGATATTTTCATGTTTTATTTGACGACCCTTTTGATTGACATAATTGGACAAATCATGGTCACACCCAAAAAACTAAAATAGTCAAGGTTATATATCAAATTATAGATATTTCGTCACTTATGGTAAAATTTCTAATAGCTTTATTTATTTTGGTTTCAAAACAGACCAATTAAACCGGATGCTAATTGTATGCATATTAGGAAGAAAATATTTAGCAACATCGTAATGTACTATGGTGTGCTTGGATTACTTAATTACAATGCCAAAAGAGAAAATTCTCTAAGAATAAGAAAAATATTATTTGTATTATTAACAGGAACGGACTTAGGAGGGGTCTAGATTGAATTTATCTAACATGTGAGTGTTTTAATTTTGCGCAAGCGTGCGTTATGGCAATTTTTTAGTCACTTTAATTTCTTACAATTTAGATTAATTTGAAAAAATAATTATCTTATTATTTAGGTGACATTTGCCCCATTTCATGCGTTTATTTAGTTATTTGCGTCGCTTTTAATTTTGTTTACATGACGTAGGATAGCCCTATCTTGTAATTATTTAATGGTGGGGCAAATGTATGGAGTCCAGACCTGTCGAAGGCGTTGTTGCCAGTTGTTGTTGTGCAGGCAGTGATTTTGAGCAAAAATGAGAAGAATATCGTTTGGTGGAGTTTAGTGGTGGTTTGACATGCATTTATTTAAGTAAATGTGTGATATGAAGGTGTTTAGAGAGCTCGGAGCGAAGACCTTTGATATTAGAGTTCGGTTTGTTGTTGGTAGCAGTAGTCGTTAAGACCGTTAAGACGTTAAGACAGACGTAATTTTGACGGACGGTTACGGTTGTGTGGCAGCTAGGCTATCAATGTACAATTTTATCGCAGTTTAACTGTGATAACTTGATAAGAAATATAGCAATTATATGAACATAATAAACGTTTCGAGCAGGTGAATAATGCGCACGAGTGTATAGTAATGTTTGGTGGTGTCTCATGCGTGTAAAAGTGCAACATTTATGTTAGGAGCTCGAATTAAATAAGGAAAACTAGAAAAATGCCTCTGTTTGGTAAAGAGAAAAAAGCCAAAAAAGATGGGAAAGATTCAGATAAACAACCTTCACTTGAAGACAAATATTACTTAAAAGAATTACTTGGCACGTAAGTTTTTGTTGTTCATCTGTTGACATTACTCTAACCTCTATTTGTTTTTCCGTTTAAAAGGGGCGCATTTTCCGTTGTCAGGTTAGCCGAAAGTAAGGAAAAGCCAGGTCAGATGTACGCCGTCAAAATAATCGACAAAAAAGCTTTAAAAGGTAAAGAAGATTCGCTCGAAAATGAAATTAAGGTGCTACGAAGGTAAGCCCACCAAAGTATGTTAGTTATTTTCAGATTTTTTACTCATAAATTGTTGATTTTACCTAAAATCAACAAATAATAAGCGCCCACACTATCAATCAAAACAAATACTTCTATTTCACTTGATTTTTATCTACTTGCAAGAGCGGCGATTAAATTATTATTAGTAGATTCATTAAATTTACAAGTACCCATAAAAGTATATTTAGTGATCCAACTTCTGAAAAATATTTATTGTCCTGGATTAAATATCCTGATTTTATTCAAACTAATTGGAATCGCGTTTATTGTACAACTTGTCTGTCACAGAATGTAATTCATAATTATAATGGTAATGATTCAATTGGCGATAATACCGTATTGTTTCATGTACATATATTGTCACCATAGTGCGATGGTTTTATGTACATGTATAATTATGTATAATTTGGGGAATCGGCACTGATAAAACACCCGTTATAATTTTCCCTATTAAACTTTATTTTTTCATAATAACGGATCGCATCCAAGTATTTAAATATTCGGATTACCATTTTATTTTGCAATTATCATTGCAAAACGCTCAAAATTCGTAACCCAGTTGACAATTACAAGCGAATCAACATGCAACTATTGATACCCGTTTTGATACAAAGCAATATATTATTTTTATTTAGTTGCGTTGGCGGTGACGTTTATGGACCATTGTCTTCATCCGGAATGGTTTTATGTGTTTGGGAGTAATTTTAGCAATTTTAGTTTTGACATTGTGATTAATCGCGTAAAGGCAATGGTATAATTCAATTTTTTATTCAACAGTTGGTGTTATTTATTAAAAAAAAATCGACCAAAAAAAAATTCAAGTTTTGTTTGTTTTGTGTTACATTGCTAACGCCAAACGTCTTTTTGTTGAAAAACCTTCAATTGCAACGAATCTTAGGAGGTTAAAGTGAGGATTATAAAAATGTACTGAATGCAAGCTTGTTTGCTGATTCTATCAATAAAAATCGTCTCAAGAAAGATTTTGTTTTCTTAGTATCCGATTTGTCCAATTAGGAAAATAATAAACTATATTTCAGTGAAGGATAAAACAACATATGCGTTTCAAGTTCGACCTGGAAGCATGTAAGGAATTGTTATAATTGGAATGAAATCCAAATTTAGTTTTGTAAGAAAATGTTTTCGATTTACTTTCCAATGTCGCAATTTAGTTAGTACAATTACGTTAATGTTGATATTTGTAGTTACATTTGCGATAATTACGATTCAGCTTTACAATAAAAATTAGGTAGGTCTATTGAAAGAAGTGTCAAGGTCACTTTCTTATCAAAAAGCATCCATTTTGACCGTAAACAAACCTATTATCGAATTATTTGATTTTTTACATCAACTTAGAAAAAAATGCGTAGCTGTGTTGGTCATGATAAATAAAAACCGAAATGAAACTAGTTCACATAAGCTGTTAATTTTGAAATTAATACCGTAATATGGTGGTTTAAGTATAAAATTATCTGTCTACATGAAGCAAATGGGTATAAAATGTAGAATAATCTTGGTGGTGTAATTAAGTACCCCAAGGTGTTGTTTATTAGGATAGCGGTTATAAGTTAACCAGTGGGAAAATTAAACGCATGCGCCTACGTCGCGTTGGAATAATTAATTTTTCATATGTTGATTGAAAAGGGATAATATATTGTGCTGCAAATTGACGTAATTAAATCGCACCTTTATTTTAAGAGAAAACTAACTTATTGTGATTAGAGATTTAGCCGCGCTTAAATCTGATATTAGCACGTACTCGTATTTTCTTCGGGGTAAAAAATATCACCAGCTTCAAATTAATGAAGTATTTAGTCTATTACACGCGCGCTTTGTTCACTTTGTGCGCTTTGAATTGGTACTCGATATTCTCTTAAGTTAAGATAACTTGTTGAATTTTTTTTCAAGACTAACCCGCATCTACGGCACCTCATTACAAACCGTTACGTAAATCTCTGAGGTATTTATTATACAGGATGTCCCGTTTTTATTGTTACAAATTTAAAGAGGTGATAAAATATTCAATTTTAAGACAAAAGTTTCCTATAAACATGAATCGAAAAATACTATGTAAGGGAGCTGCACCCATAAAAAACATGCGTCTTTTTAATGTATTTTTACAATATTTTAGAAACCATTATAGGTAAAATTACAAAATTTGGTACAGCTATACTGTACCCTTATACTCTTTCAGTTTAGGACGCCTCTGATTAAAATTTTCGATATTTTATCTTCATGTTCGTTTAGGTGTATAAAGGTTATCAACTGTACCAAATTTTGTAATTTTATCTATTCTGAAACAATGGGAAAAACCCTTGAAAAAACGCACCCTTTTCAGGTCCCTTACAAAGTATTTTTCGATACATGTTCATCGGAAATTTTTCTTTTGGATTTGAATATTCTATCACCTGTTTAAATTTGTAACAATAAAAACGCAACATCCTCTGTATAATAATTAATGAGATTAATAAGAGAGAAAAAAATTTGGGAAAAACTTGTTTCAACTTTTGCCGCCTATGAGATTAATGGCTTTCGTATCGAAGCGAAAATTGGCACTCCTTGGAGCTATTACACTACCATATATGCATATCAATTATCTATCATAATACCAACCACAAAATATATCAAACTGAATATTAATAATAAGGAGAAGATTTTTTTTTAATTGACATGACAAATACGCATTAAAGAAATACACCCACTGCTCTGAAGTATTTATTAAAATTTATTAGTAAATAACTGATTTAAAATTTATTGAGAACAAAAATTTTTTTTTTTTCTTATAGTAGTTTAATAGATAGGTACCTGTAATAATTTAGTTTTAAAAAGATAGCCGGTGGAAAATTTATCACTCATTTGTCGTATTCAAATTTTCATTGATAAAAACAGTAGCTTATGAATTATTAAAAAAAATTACACGTTGTATACAAATAGCAGAAGCTGAATATTATTCATTGTTACATGTCTAAAATTACGTAAAGTATTTTTTTGATTGTATAATTACAACATTGAATTAATATGCAAGTTGTGGAATGTCAAAAGACGCCAAATTTTTATTTTTTTTAATAATAATTGACTTATCTGAATTTGAATCAATAATTTTTACGAATTTTTCGTTTTATCTTGTTTTTTATTAAGCTAAAAATGTTTACTATAGTTATATAAAAAATATGACCGCACTTAATTTTTATTATATTTGATTATTTTCTGCAACTTTTGTTTAACGAAAACCAAATTTAAAACATTTGCTTGTAATTTTTTAGTTGAATGTTTATTTTTTATTCAGATTGTTAACGGAAAATATTTACCATGCACCAGTCGCAAATCCCAGAAAACACACAAATAGAAGTGTACGATTTATATATTGATGCAACAGTTTGAAACGATTCTTCCGTAAATAAGCGTTTTAGTATTTTGTTTTTCTTTTTTATCTCAGTAAAGGTTTTTGTGTTCGTATTTTTGTATTTCCCTCGGTATTAAGTTCACAATAAAGTGTGGTTTCTCTCATGAGAATAAAGTGTCGATAGTCTATTATTTTTGATGATCAAATTTCAACTTTACGAACGATATTTCCATTGTCCTAATTAACGAAATTAGGAGAAAGAAAATGTTTTGGTTTCGATAAAAACCACAAATAAATTCATTACCACATTAAATACTTAATTTAAAATATGTAACTCAACAAGATCAATAAGAACAGTGCCTTGACCTGAACTTAAACGAAATATTAGTGACAGTTATCAGATGACTGAAACGGAAGTGCGACTTGAATTGTTTGTACCTACGTACCTAATTCACGCTCTGAAATTTCATAATTCGTGTTCAGAAATTATACATTTCACGTTTGTTTCATCTTATATTAAAATATTTTTGTGTTGTTGCTACCGATAGCAGTATTTTTTCCACACAAAACTGAAAATATTTTATAATTAGAACTGATTAATCTAATTATAAATATTTATTGGTGTCACTAATCGCTATTATAACATGTCATCCACTCGTTGCTAGTTTTGAATAAACTAAAACTTTGAAATAAGCCCGAATGTTTACTAGTTTTGTAATAATAATAATGAAAAGGTCTTTATTATATACAAAAAAATAAATAATAAAATAAAATACAAAAAAATAAAACTGAACACCCCCTATGTTTCATCTTAAGCTAAGCAAAAACAAAATTAACAGATACAGTGTGGCTTTTTTTTTTAAATAAAAATAAAAATTGAAACAGAAAAAGAAAAGACATGTTTACTAATCATGTTGCACATCTAAACATTCAAAAAGAATGTTAAAAGCTTGGTTGGATACAAGTATTTTTTTCAACGTTTGTTTAAATTTAGCAGAGTTTAGGTTTTTAAACGAATGAGGTAAACTGTTGTATAATTTAGTAATTTGATAAGAGAAAGACCTCAGTGGAGTGGAGTGGAGTAGAGGGGTAAGTGAACCTTTAAAGCTAATATTTAGGTTGTGAACATCCAATCTAAAACTAATTTTTTTGGTACAAATAAATAGGTGTCTTTAAAAGAATGATTTTGTGAAGAAACCGGCGATTTTCCATATTTAACCATCCAATTTCATTAAGTTTATGAGAAATGTTTTGTCTTCTTCGGATGCCAAAAATTAAACGCAAACAAGAATTTTGAATAACTTGTATTCTGTGATTGTCAGCTGCATCAATAAACCGAATCACAAAAATTGAATTTTGAGAGCACCAAAGCTTCACACAGAATAGTTTTAATTAATTAGTCAAAATGTAAATCAAGATTTTGAACAGATTGCTTAATTTCGTTTTTTCGACCAAAGACTATAGCAGCTGTTTTATAAGCATTAATAATCAGTCCATCATAAATTGGCTAAATTTATATTTAGTGCATTTATTTCATTAGGGCATTACGCGGATAAAATGAGTGGTAGACCCTGGATATCATCAGCATAAAGGTGAATTTTGCAATTAGATATAACACTAGGAAGCTTACAGGTATAAATCGTTTTGGTCAATAAATATTATGGTCATCATGACTTATGATTTTTATTTGCTTTAATTCTTTTGAGACATTCAAAGCTGAAACTATTCAATAATTGTCTAATTGGATCCACCTGGAAAAAACATATGTTAATAGTTTTATAACCTTGAGGAAAATGGTATTCCCTTGTTTTAAATAATAGCAAATAGCTGTTTTACGCCCATCCGTAAAATTGATAACCGAAAGGTCGACACCACAAATAAAACTTTATATACACAGGTTGGTCTAGTAGGTTTTTTAATTAACGTATTTATTTATGAAAAATTGATACGTCTGTCGCTATCGGTTAATTAAAATGAATGTGTCGCTTGCGGGAATAATCAAAATTATAAAAGCCGGGATAGGTGTGATAACTTTGGCAAAAATCTGTCGATAAATACGAATTGTGTGTGATGTTAAATAATAAATACATTTCAGTTTATTTGGAGTGACTTGTTTAAAGAATTTTACGACTGTTACAAAATGTTTGTTTAAGTAGGTGGAAATTTGCTTGATTTATACGAGTTTTTTTTTCCAGATTAACTCATCCTAATATTGTACAGTTATTAGAAACGTTCGAAGATAAATCGAAAGTTTATTTGATAATGGAATTGTAAGTTTTGCATAAATTTTACGAACGAAAATTGTTGTGTTGTGTTTTTTTTTAGAGTAACGGGTGGCGAATTATTTGATCGTATTGTTGAGAAAGGTTCATATACAGAAAAAGACGCGGCTGATCTCATACGACAAGTTCTAGAGGCTGTAGACTATATGCATGAACAAGGTGTAGTCCATCGTGATTTAAAGGTAATTAGAAAAGTGTTTGAAAAGTACTAATTTCAAGTGTAATTTTTGTAGCCTGAAAACCTGCTTTATTATAGTCCAGACGAAGATAGCAAAATAATGATTAGTGATTTCGGTTTATCAAAAATGGAAGATTCTGGGATCATGGCTACTGCTTGTGGGACTCCAGGTTACGTCGGTATGATTGGAAGTTCCCTCAAAATCGTTGTTTTCTAACCGATTTATTGTAGCTCCAGAAGTCCTTGCACAGAAACCGTACGGCAAAGCGGTTGATGTCTGGAGCATAGGCGTCATATCCTACATCCTCCTTTGTGGTTATCCTCCTTTTTATGACGAAAACGACGCAAATTTATTTGCACAAATTCTCAAAGGTAAGTTTTTTACGTCTTGGAATGGAAAGGAAATCAAAATAAATGGTTTATTTAAGGCGAATTTGAGTTTGATTCGCCATATTGGGATGAAATCAGTGATTCTGCGAAAGACTTTATTCGGAAATTGATGTGTGTTAATGTCGAGAAGCGTTTTACTTGTCGCCAGGCTTTGGCTCATCCTTGGTATGTTCTAGGTTGTGCGTGTGGTTTTTATTGGTGTTGTGTTTGTTTTTTAGGATATCCGGAAATGCAGCCAGTAATAAGAACATTCATGGTACTGTATCTGAACAACTTAAAAAGAATTTTGCAAAATCGCGTTGGAAGGTATGGTGGCAATTTTGTATATATATATTTTTTTTTGTTAATGATTATATTTTAGCAAGCATATCATGCCACGACGGTGATTCGACAAATGCAACGAATGGCGCTAAGTAGTGGTGGTAGTGGGGGACGTAGTCCGATACCTCAACGTAGTATCTCCACTGGTGAACCATGTGGGAGCCTAAATGGTGCCCAAGATAAGTAATCAAATTCTGTAACTATCGTTCATTTATTTCTGCTATATATTCATTTTGAATTGGGATTGAAACATGTTCTTAAAATTTCTTATTTTTATGGAAGTTGAAGAATTAGTTATTTAGTTATAAGCTATTATGGTCAGAAGGCCAGCTCACTTAAGAGAAGACTTCCAAAACAAAATAATTATGTGATGTATGTATCATGCAAACGTAACAGTGTGTAAAAATTATCCAACAATCTAATGGCATATCTGTTATTTTGCTTTGCAGATCTAAAGTTTGTTGTGTATATTTTTTTATTTTTTTACTTGTTTTTTTTTTTTATATGAATTTTTTGTTATGAAAGCTCTCTTTATTTTTCAAATATACTTATTTTTGATTTAGGTTTAGTTACTTATTTACTATTTGTTTTATGCACAAAATTTTATTTTATTTCTGGTTTTTGATAGTTAACGGTATTATGATTATATTCTAAAAAAAGTTCCGTAATTACTTAGTGTATAATATAAGATTATAAATCATACAAAATAAATGTTGAATATCAATAATAATGTATGAATAATAATAATAATATTAATAGAAAGCAAATGTTATTGCTATGTGACACATAAATCTTGCATATTACGTTTTTGTTTGTAACTATAGCGCGGAATTGTAGATTTTCATCATGACATTACAGAACTGTTCAGAACTGAAAAAGAATAATTTATTTTGTTATGTTGTTATTGTTCCAAGCAATATTAAATGTTAGAAATGTTAGTAGTATTAAAACTAAGAAGAGAAATACACTACCTTCTAAAACACATATGCTTGCTTAAGATATAAATGTATTATTCTGTCTGAGGTTTATTAGATTTTTTTGTTTTATTTTTGTATATGTTATTACTAATTGACAAGTATATCATGTTCAACATTATTTATCAATAAATTGGTCGTCAGAAACTTAATTTAACCACTTAACAAAAAGTATTTTTTGATGATTATTATACAAACAGTGGCCTACATGAAAGCCTATTGATCGGCCATTTTGAAATGATATTATATCCGTCCTTTGGATTATGTTGAAATGTGATTTTGTAAAATTGGCCTTGAATATTGAACATGATATACATAAATGTAGTTATTTTTTTCTAAACTCACAACATGTGATATGTACTATATTTCGTATCTATTTTATTTATTTCCTTATAAGATGTACATTGTATAAACGAACTAAGTAGAGTTTCAGTGTATATTTTTAGGAATTTGTTGTTTTTGCACTGCATATATAAACGCCTGTGTAGCATAAAATAGATATTTAGTTTTATATTTTTACTAAATGTACAAACTGCTACAACTGGTTTATCAGGTGTATGTATATTTCTTAAAACATTCTATGTAATTTTTTAGTTCAACAATACTGTGATGTTATACAGTAAGACATTTATTATACACTTATCTTCCTAAATCATAGGAGTGAGTTTTTATTATCCTCATAAAGTAATTGAATTTTTGTGAGTAATTGAAGACACTACTACGTTATTTGATTGAAAGCATATAATTTATGACGGGAAATAAAAACTTACAGGTAGTGAGCAATTATAGGATAATTTCATGGAACATTTCTTCACATTCCAATTATCGTTTACTTAATATGCATTTATTTAAAAGAAATAACTACATTCAGTTTGGATAAAAAAAAACAAAAAAAAAAACATACATCGATCAAACTCTAAACACTATTTTTGTTAATCTTTAACAGTTATAAAAATTGCGATGGTGTTTTAAGTCAGATGTAAATACTAATTTAAGCAATTGTAAAATGACCACTAAAAAGGCAATGTAGTTTTATGCAGAAAATAGCTTTTTTGTAATTTTATAATTGGTTTATGAAGATTAGAACAAAGCTATAACGTCGCTTTAATCTTGTGTTTTTTTTTATTTTAGCCTCTAAACATAAAAATATTCATTGGAATGCAGTGTTGAAATATTTTCAATCTTAATTATTGTTAATAATATTTTGTTTCTACCATGATTAATATATTTTGTAATGTTCTATTGTTAACTATATGATGGGTTTAAAAATAGAAAATTTAACAATTTACCTATGTTTTTGAAATTACCTCACAAATCCCCGTCTGCAATGAAAATAAATCGATACATGTATTAAAGATGGCGCCGAATTAAGGGATCTGGTTTAATTCAAATATTTGAATAATAAACAAAAGTAGGCGTTATGTGATTTTTATTTGAATTTGTAATTAATAATAAAATAACAAAAGTTATAACAAAATGGTAATTATCTATATGGACAATAATAATATCCAATATAAATCGAGTTCGCTTTAATTTTTCGCAAAGCTTACAAACTAAACCTTATCAATAACTACCCTAAAAACAACGATTGCTTAGAAAAATTATATGTATATAATATGTTGTAATACTATGATTATTCATTATATTACATGAATGGCTTGTCAAAATGTAGATACGATGTACCGAACACAATTATCCAAAGTGTATGTTACATGTACCTACATGCGTTAGAAAGGAAAAAAATCAAATCGCAAAATATTAAGCATATCATATCCAGCGTAAAAAAGTGAACAATTGAAATGTATGAAGATATTCGCTCAGTGCTGGAACTGTACCTAGCCTAGGTATACAAGCAGATTGTGCAATTTCTTACGCCAGATAACAAACATGTGCAAAAATTTTCAACCTTTATTTTGTGAATAAGTAAAATTGCTCCTTGAATCACTCACATTAAAAAACAAATGGTGGAGTATGAAAGCGGAAAAGCAACTGATTTACAATACACCTGCTTTTCATATTATAACATTACTGTTTTAATTTTTCTAATAACAAAATTAATTTTTTTAAATGGAATATTGTTTTGGAACTACGTACGTACCTCTATATACAGTGTATTGTCAAAATCAGTTAATCTATTTCACTATCACAATAACAATGTGTGCGTATTATTAGATTAAAATGTTGCACACTAGATCAGAGATTTCGTTAAATCTTGAGTCTACTATTGAAAAGAAGCAATGGAGCTTAAATAAAAATCATTTCGTATATTAGCGATTGCCAATGTAAATATACATACATATAGTGTAGTGTGTTTCATTGTACCGGATTTGAATCATCTTCAAACGAATAAAACAGACTGTAGTTGTCAATTATCACTTCGTTCCGTCAATGGTGAGTGTTTGAATGAGCTTTGGTTGTCGATAGTTATGGAATTCTCAAAATAATAATAAGGAAATTTAAGGAAAATTTTATTTGTCATGGCTAGATGTGTAAAAAAATAAAGGCCTAGTTTTGCATTTGCCCATTGAAATCACTGTCTGGGAATAACAGTCGGTTTAATGGGTCGAAAAAATCTAATATTAACCACGTCAACAAACACTAACCAAATCCGTAATATTCATATAAAATCTTAACAATAATTATCCAATCAACCAATAAAACGTAGATAACAGCATATTTTTATAACGTAGAACGACAGTTTGTCAACTGTGTTTCTATAGTTAAATCTGAATCTCTATCGAATAAAATATTTCCAACGGTATGGGTGACATTTTTGACAAAAAAATACCTCCAATGGTCCAGCCATAATAAAAAAAATTAATATTTAAATAACTAACGTTATATTATAATTTATACAATAAGTCGTGCGATCAATAAGTCTTAAAATGCTGTTATTGTGTGGAAATAAAATAAACTTTAAGCTAATTTTATTCAAGCACATATTTTAAAAAATAGTACAGCTTGTGCTATATTGCTTGTTAAAAAGTGTTTTCTTTTTGAAAAAATGTCACACATACAAATTTACAATAGACATTGTATGAGGCATACGAAATTTTTTTTTCTTTTTTGACCCATTTGCCCCTCCTCCAATACGGTCCATATAGCTTGAATATTGTACTGAAGAAAGCACCATTTTTACAAATTACTCTTTTGAATATGTGGAATTGTTCCTGGATCGTTTTTGGGACGCACTTGGGAATAATGCTCCCAAAAATGACAAATTTTCTGAGCATTAAAAATTAATTCAAAATTTTGGTTGCTTGCGAATGACTTGGCAAAAGAAAATATGAGTTTGTGTCTTAAGTGTGACAATATATTATTTATTAAATGATGTGTCCAATTAATTCAAACTGCATAGAGTTACTAGTAAAGCGCAAAGTTTTGATTTTGAAAATTTTGCGCAAGGATATGGAATAAATCATGCTAGTTCGAATAAAAGGACTCTTTTCTGTTTTTGTATGCGACTATGTCAAGTAGCAACTAATGCTGGGACATTGTTGTTACGAGTACTTTTGGTTGGTTTTTAAATACTAGTCATTCTATTTGTTTGATCCAATAATATGTAGGATACTTTCTTCATCAAACTACACAGAACATATTTGGTCGCCGCACGTTTTTATCTCGGAAGATCATCCAGTTAACAATGGCCACCGCAAATCGGCCGAAAAACGTAATTCGATGCATGTAATAAGAGGATATGTCTGGAGAGCAGCCGAGATAAAAATTTCGTACATAGCGTCCACTATGGTGATGTCAAGGAGGGGCAGGGCCATTCTCAGACGTCCGCAGATCTGGAGCTGACGCTGGGCGTGCGACTGTGCAACACCACTTTGTGCCCGTTTTTGGTCGCAAAGCCATCGTTTTCCACCAAAACGGCCGTTTGGTGTGCTTCCAACTCACTGTCTTTGTCATCGAGTTCTCCTCCTTCGACGGAAGGCTCAAGGACGCCGCCACTGCTGCTGTTGCGCCGCTGTTGTTTGTGCTTACGCCAGGCGTTCTGGATTAGGCGTGCACAGTACTCCTCGCGCTGCCTCCACAGAGTAGAACTCACTGGTTCATATCCCGGTTCGTTCGGGTGAGTTTGCACTTCACTGAGTTCAGCTGTCTCTTCAATCGGATTGCCCTTACGAGCAAAGAAGTCTTTTGTTAGCGCATCTAAAATATCTACACAAAACATGAGATCACCCTTGCATATGGTAATGTCCATTGAAACTATCTTATATTTGTTAGGTTTGTGGATTTGTAAAGGAGGCTCCAGTACATCGAGGAAGTCCGATAGTTGATCGTAGCGAATGTACTGTGTGCCATCAGGATCGAACTGTTGCCAAATTTCGTAGTACATGTCATAATCGTCATCGGTTAAACCTTCCTGTACATCTTCAGTAGCCTGGGAGTAATTTTCCAAAATCACAGCGATGTACATGTTGATGACGATCAAGAAAGAAATCACGAGGTAGCTAAGTAAAAAGGCGATGCCTATTGTTGAATTTCCACAATTTCCCGTCTCTCCTATTTCATTATTCGGCAATTTGCAATCCTCTTCGTTTATAATACCATCCAAAACGCCATCCCATCCGGCCGAAGTCGACATCTACAACACAAATCGATCTAAATATTTTTTCAAAAAATTAATAACAACATCATCTACCTGAAATAAGAGGATCATGGACTGGGCAAAAGTTTTAAAGTTGTAGACGTCATCCAATCCGCTTTTGTCTTTGACGTGCATAAAGAAGGACATCCCAAAAATGGCAAAGATAAACATCACCAAGAACAACAGTAAACAGATGTTGAATAGTGCAGGCAGTGACATGGCTAATGCGAAAAGCAGTGTGCGGATGCCTTTTGCTCCTTTTACTAAACGGAGTACTCTTCCAACTTTTGCCACACGTACCACTCTTAACAGTGTTGGTGATACAAAATATTTTTCGATGATATCACTCAAAACTAAACCCAAAATTGATAGTATCACAACTACCAAATCGAAGAGATTCCAAGGTTCCGTGAAATAATGATATCGTAACGCAAACATTTTCATGAGGCACTCGGTACTAAATATAACTATGAAAATCATGTTGAGGTAGTCTAACACTTGCGTAAATGTTTCTTTCTGTTGGTAATGGTCCATCGTCATTGTCAACATGTTCAAACCAATAAACAACATGATTATCATGTCAAATTTCTTATTTGTTACTATTTCAAATACGATAGCTTGAGGTTTCCACTACAATTATTAATTAGGATTTATTTTTAACAGTACTAACTTACCCTCGGTCGTGGGATAGCTTTCATAGGTTTCTTCGAACCCATTTTTTTCATCGCATTATAGTACTTTTTTTGATCCTCAGTCATGAACATTTCTAACGAACCTCCTGCTTTCTTCTTTTGTGCATTAAAGTTATCAATAATCACACCAATAAACAGATTTAAAGTAAAGAATGATCCAAAAATAATAAAGAAGACGAAATATAAATACATATAAATATTTGTCTCTCTTATTGGTTGTTTATTAATCTACAAGATAACTTTTAGAATTAAATAGGTACTTTATATTTTTCTTTATTACTTCTCTGGAATCTATAGCATCGTTCATAATTTGTATCCATCCTTTAAAAGTAGCAACTTGAAACAAACAAAGGTACGCTTTACCAACATGATCAAAATTCATTCTAGAATTCTCCCAAGTGTAATTTTCGGCAATACAGGCGTTGTAATCAGGAATAATTTCATAGCTTAATGTTGTTTTATTTGCGTCTACGCACTGTAATAAAACGAGCAAGGGTTATACAAAACAAACACAAATAATAAAAATACAGTTATACCTTAAAGTATTTACCAGCAAATAACTGTACACCCATTATAGCAAAAATTAACCAAAAGATTAAGCACACTAGCAGCACATTGAAGATAGATGGTATAGCTTGTACAAGCGCATTTACTACAACCTGAAAATATCACAAATTAAAATTGAAAAAATGAGAAACTTCGTCATAAATTACCCTCATTCCTTGCATCCGCGACATAGCACGGAGAGGTCTTAGAGCTCGAAGTGTTCTCATGGTTTTAAACGCTTGAATACCACCAGCACCACAAAGAGAGGCAATAAAATTAATTAACGATACCTAGTGATGAAGCAATGTTAGAAGATTTTTTCCAATGATAGGTATACTAAGACTTACCATTACGATAATAAAATCTAGCCAGCACCATGCATTTGTAAAGTATTTTTGAAACCCTAAAGCTAACCATTTTATCAACATTTCGAAAAAGAAAATCACTGTAAATATTCGATCCATATAGTATAAAATATCTTGCAAAATCGGACGTTTCGAAAGATGTACATCTTCCAAAGCTAATGCAAGACTACTCAGCAAAATCATCGTAATAACCGCCGTTTCAAAATATTTGTTTTCTATAAGCCGAAATGTTTTATAACGCAAATTTGCCCAACCTTGCCAAAATGGCGATTCTTCATCGCCGGCCAAAAATGGAAATTTTTTATAACATGATTCGGGACAACAATCAGCCGAATACTCATCGATAATGTCTTCAGTGTTTGCATCAACCAAATCTTCATTTAAAATTTCTTTGCATTCACAGCCTTCTTCTTCCGTATCTTCAACAATACCTAACTCTTCTTTACTGGCATCTCGTTTCTCTTCTTGCTCCTCGTTATCTTCCAACACATTGGCACTACCTTTATGACTCTCGTCTTTAAATCTGTAAGTGTGACTCCCGTATGAATTATTACTAATTTCGTCATCATCTAAGTGACTAATAAAATCACTGTGGTCTAAAATTGAATTTCCAATAGTTTTGCTTTTACTTAAACTGTTTTTGTCTCGTTTTAAATTAGTTTTTGAATCACCTAAAATTTTAAATGAAACCATTAAACCGACTTTTTGATAGTTGCTATTTATACCATGAACTGTAAGGTCCATACCGGTCCCAATACCTATTGTTACTTCAACTCGATCTTTAGGATTTTTCTTCATTAAACCGTTTGCCAATATTTCGTCGTCTGATATTTCTAATGCACATTCTCTTTCATCTAAAATTGACATTGACAATAAATTTATAACTGTAAATGAATCTATTATTTTTACCTGAAGGCTGGTCTGATATCTGATTAGTTAATTTAAATCGGACGATTTTTACTATATCTAAAACACTACCCTTTATCCATCTTATAAAACGACCTATTCTCTCAAAGGCCTCTGCTATTTTATTAGTATCGTTGTCGGCAGTCGGTGCTGAAAGGTTTGAAGATCCAAAATTGCTCAAAAGCAAAGCCAAGAAGAGGTTAAGTACCTGAAATAAGTGGATATCTCATGTAATCAACGTGTGTAATTAAATATTTAGAAGATACATACCACAAGATTACCAATTACAACAGTTGCTAGGAAAAATGGAATACAAGACACATCACCTACTAACATGCAATCCCACATAGATTCTATCCATTCTCCACACAATACTCTAAACACTATCATAAAGGAATGCATAAAATCGGTAAAGTTCCATCTTGGAAGTTCACCGGCAGGAAATCTATCAACGTTGTCTAGAATTTGATATTGGGATGATTTTGTTGTTATAATAAAAAATGTGATTGATAGATACCTGTATAATTTTTTCCAAATAATTGCATCCCCATTACGGCAAATATGAATATAATGATACATAAGACAAACGTTAGATTCCCTAAAGCACCCATAGTCCTACCCATAATGGAAATAAGTAAATTCAAAGTTGGCCATGATTTTGCCAGTTTAAACACCCTCAACTAAAATAAATTTACAATAAGAAAGATAGATTTTTTTTTAAATGTATGTACCCACCAATCGAAATGATCTCAAAACAGACAATCCCTGGACTCCTTCAAGCCCAAGTTCTAGCAATGATAGTGCCACTATTATGAAATCAAAGATGTTCCAGCCTTCTTGAAAGTAATATTTTGGACTCATCGCAATTAATTTCATCGTAGCTTCGATCATAAATGTAGCAGTGAAGAACTAAAATTAGGTAAATACCGATCGATTATGTGGGTTTATATTGGAATTAACTTACGTAGTTTCCACTTTTTAAGGCCTTTTCCAGGTCTTTGTCCATGTCGTGATGGTCAAGTGCCATGAACAAGGTGTTAACAACGATGCAAAGCGTGATGAAAAGCTCAACGAACGGATCAAATACTATTAAACTGACGAATTTCTGGATGACGATCCAGCAATGACAACAATCCCAAACGCAAAGTATGTCTATTATTTTTAGTGTGTAGGCCAGCATGCGTTCTCCGACGGTGGGTTCTTCCTCTTCTTCGTCATTCTCATCATTATTAGTGGCTGAGAAAATATAAACAGAAACTGAAGCAAGTATTAGTAATGGTGATTTTGACACACTCTTTTTTTGGGAAAAGAGGTTTTGTGCAATGCGATAGAAGAGCGTTGGTCTTAACCACTGGTTAAGTCTTGTTCCGTTTTTATTTCCGCTCAAAGCAATTTGGGAAATACTTAATGTTGTTTGTCAGAGTTTCGGTTAAGAATGAGGGCCAAAAAAAAAAAACGCACTAAAAGCTCATGCCAATGAAATGAAACATTTGCGTTTTTCAATTAGGTACTAAGTTCAACATCGAATATCTATTTCTCCTATTTGCACCAATCTAAACTAGCTTCTCTAACATATAACATGATTTGTGAAATTGTCACTGAAAATACATATTGATGTCGGTGCTGCAACACCAGGAATAGCCAAACAAGGGTCTAGATGATTTCTAACTAACCAATTAGTTTTGGTGGTGCTTCAATACAGAATGGATATATTTAGTGCTCAACATTGCTGATTCTTATTATTTTATTATTTACCTAAGAAATGTTCTTGTTCAAAATCCCTCCGTATTGTTAATTTGTAGTAAATAAACACGTATTAGTTTGAATGGTCTAGCAGTGCTTTGGCTAGTGTTTTAATTAATTAAAGCACAATGTTTCGTGTGACGGGAGTGAACTTTGGGGACTAATTTTTTTTTAACATACCTCCATGCTCACTTCCTCCACTTGCAGCTGCTTGCTCAATAATATCGTTGAGGACTTTTACATCTGAATAAAGTATAAATAAATTTTAGCCAAATTTGACACATTACGTACCTTTCATATCTACAACTGTTTGTCTTTGATTGTTATCAATAAAGGAACTATCCAACTGTTTTAATTTAGATTCACAAAGTTGGCCTGTGGGACCATCCTACGTAAGAAAAATCACAATTTCAATTCAGATTTTTATAAAAGTACGAGTTTATATCACTTACATAATCACCTCTGTGTGCTTTGTGAGTAATTTCAAAGAAGGAATTTGTTGTGGTTGGTGGTGCGTTTCTCATGGAACGACATCGGAGTTGACTCTCCTTTGTCATATTTTTGCCACTACCTACAAGGCCTCCAAGGAGGTCCCCGTGGGATGTATAAGACATCCGCGCAGCATGGGAATTGTATGATGAGTGACGTGACCCTGTGTCCAACATTTGGAATTTGATTATGTGTTAGAAATGATTGATGCATACCCAAATTGGCGTAGTACATGGGGAACACCATGGCTCCATTCTCCTCGCTCATGGGAGTAACAGCGTTGGAGTCGTCAGCATAGGGAAGATGTTCTTGAGCATCGAGATAAGTCGAGAGTACTAAAGGTTTGCGGTCGCAGGGACCGCCCACCATATGCCTGTTGTTTCTAATGGTAAACTGATGACTGCCTCGTGAGCCCCGGCGAAGATTGAACGGAGATCCCGGAAGACTAAGACTTGCCTAAATAGCCACATGAAGTTCATGTTCATGTTCATGTTCATGTTCTAGCTTTCATATAGAAAATCCAAGACCGAGAAATAATAACTGATAATGTTACTTTTTCCCGCTCTAGGGCTGATTTGATTGATGTCAATTGAATACGGAACATGCGTGATGTGTACCTAAGTATGTGTGAAAATAAGCGTGTACCTATAAGAATCATTTTCCTTATTCGTGCCGACAAAGAGATTTAATTTATTTGCATAAGAATGATGGAAGTAAAGACAAAGCAGAAAATAAAGTGCTATAGCTTTAAGACAATGTTGGAAGAGAGTCTAAACACTATAATTGTCATGATTTTTTACTTTGACATCAACTGAAGTATTTTTTGAAAGCAACATCGTTTCCGTTTTAAAGTCAATCGCTTTCAAATATCAAGACACTTACAGCGCTGACTTTCCGTATCTTGCTGAGATTAGGAACTCTTCTGTGTTCACTCACGGAATCTAATCCTTCAGATCGTATGCTTATTTTTTCTTTGTTGTTATCATCCTGGCCGCTTGCTTGTCCTACGAAACTCTCATAGCTATGACAGGAATAGTCCGAGGAAGATTTAACGATCTCGTGACCTCCACCACTAGCAGCTGCTTCTGCAGCTGCAGCTGCCTCCACTGCTGCTAACGCTCGCGCGTCTGCTCGGTCTTGTTTCTCCTTTGCTTTCTCTTCAGCTTCCTACAAATTCACAAATTATATACAAATTTACCATTAGGTATTCACCAGAAATTTACTCGGATAGCTTCGGCTTCAGCTTCTTCTTCATCCTGAGCCTTTTTTTGTAATTCATCATAAGACATAGCGACGATGGCCAAAATTAAATTAACTAAATAAAACGAGCCTAAGAAAATGATAACGATAAAAAATAACATGTGCCAAGGTCCTGCAGATCTCAAAACCTTAAACTCAGCAATGAGTTTTGCGAATACGAGCTTTATAAAATTACCAATTGATATAAATTTTCCCAATAATCCTGAGTCATTAGTCTAAAGGCAGAAAGGAAGGCCCAACCAAATGTATCAAAACTTGTATATCCATAATTTGGATTTGCACCATAGCCTTGTAAACATGTATAACCAGGCTTACATGTGCCAGCTCCAGAGGAGTTTCCACATAAAGGTCTATCCCCTTTTTCTTCATCCCAATACCAATTCGCTTAAGAGGAGTTTTTTAGGCGAACTAATTGCATTGCAACATGATACTTACTTTTGTTGCTTACAAATCTTTCCCAATTTTCATCAGTGAGATTTCCCCAGGAGCCGTCCATAGGGAAATTTTTGATACATTTTTGTGTCAGAACCCCCATGTAAATCTGTAAACCCATCAGTGCAAACACTGACAGTGAAAACATCGTTAAAATTATCACATCTCGGAGATTTTTTACAGATTCTATTACAGCTCCCACGATAGTCTTCAAACCTAATGATATAAAAATTTAGAATGTTTTATGATTTCCTAAAATTTCTATACCTGGCACAATGGCAACAGTTTTTAGAGCTCGTAGTACCCTAAATGTTCTCAAGGCAGCAAGATTTCCAAGGTCTATACCCATGGTAACATAACTGTAAAATTTTTCATTGAGTGGATTGTCTACCAACAGGTTGATTCATTCTAATTTTGCTAAAAGCCTTCTTCCATTTGTACTAAACAACGCAGATTACGCCATAATGCTTGAAATTATTTACTAGTTTAACAGTCTAAAATTAACACTACAAAAATAAGTAAGTATATATCGATTCAGGTCTAGTTGAAATTAATCTAATTCTATTCTAGATGTTTGCTGGGATTCTATATTTTAGAACAAATTTCTAAAAAAAAAAACTACTTGTTTTCTACTCTGGTGGAGATAGTAATAGCAGTCACAATAAACTCACTTGTAATATTTTTAATTGCAATTACCCAAAATTACACTTTTAAGCCAATAAAATATATTAATTCAGGCGTGGAGAAGGGTTGCAAAAAATGAGATTTTTGAAAAAGTTCCATTATTGAATGATAAAGTGAAGCAAAATTAAATATATTTTATCCATAGAAACAGATGTCGAAAATTTTTGTGTCGCAATTGAAGTAATTATTCTGATGACAGAATTACTAGTCTAGAATATAACTAAGTCTAGGTCTAAGCTACTCACGCTAAAGCTATGACTACGAAGTCGAGCCAATTCCATGCATCTCTAAGGTAGGTGAACGGTTGAAGAATAAAACCTCTGGCCATCACCTTCACAGCTGATTCAAACGTGTAGATGCCAGTGAAAATTACTCTAAAATATGTCAAATTTGATATTATCTTGTCCAAAGTAGAGCTCAAAAGGACTTACTCAGTTGATTCTACGGTGGGTGTGGTGGGCATAATCATGAGGATACAATTGACGAGGATGGTGGTAATGATAAAGAGAGAAAACAAAGGATGCACTAATATATAAATGGCTACTCGACGGATTGGATTGAAAGGATCGAGTATCCACAGAGCATTGGTTGCACTAAATCGGAATATGTCCTTGCCTTTACTAACTACTACAAAAGTCTGAAAACATATTTCATTGGTTGGTACCTCAGTGTCGGCTTTGGTTCGTTCTTACTCTTTGGTTGCTGTAAAAAGGATCGATGTCTTCAAGTGGTGTGCTGGCCAATTCCGGAGGAAACCCACCCTGAAGACGAACTGGTATGGGTAACCCTTGCTCCAGAGTTGGGTCAGGTTGGGGGCCTTCATCTTCGTCCTCGTCTTCATACCGAATCTGAATCGACAACCAAACTTAACACTCTCTCAAAAGACAGATTTTCACATTTTGCAGATTTACCATAACGCAGCGGTACATCGGCATAATTGCTAAAGTGGTGTGTAAAATATAGCACGTGTCATGTGGAACAAATGAATCGTTTGCAACTCTTCCAGTCAATAATTATAAAAAAAAACAAGGCTCATAAGAATTTTCTTTTTTTTTTTCGGATCCTCAGGTGTTCATTTATCGTGTATTGATAAAAGAAATATCTACTAAAGAGAAGAAATTTGCAACACATACCTATAACATGCACTTGTCAAGTATACATTTGAATTGCAATCAATCAAGTTGATCAACTACAAATTCAAGCTTCTTAAGCTGTTGTGGTGTGTTTTAAAATTAGATATTCAATTGTGTTGATAGCTTCTATAAAAAGACCGTCAAAATTATTTTGACACTCTCTTTTTGGTGTTGTGGCGTTGTGTTTAATTGTGACAATCATAACTAAAGCAGTGTTGTAGCTAAAACTTCCACTATTTTTTATATTGGTTGAAAGAATTAGAAAGTGAACTAAAGGGTTTATCCAGTTCCGGGCAATTCAATTCATTCAACTAATATTATAAGCATGCTTGAACTGATTGTGGCTAGTGTGTTTCAAATATTTTGTCGTGTAGTGTTTTGATTGTTTATTGTGTTACGTTAAAAAGTATAAGAATGCACACATTTGATGGAAATGCATTAAAATTATCTAATCAAGCATTAACAAAATGAAGCACTTATTCAGATGCAACTGACGATATAGAAGAGAAAGGAAACAGAGGAAACAGTGGTTTGTGAGCCATATCCTGGCGTTATCCATGAAAATTTTGAAAAATCGTCAGAGGCATTAATTACCTAAAAAGCAACTCTTTTGAGAATTTTTAATGAGGAAATCTTACTTCTTTTTTCTTTTTCCTGCGTCCAAAACCGGTCTGCAATAAAGGTTATACAATTTAACATCGATAAGCACATAACATCGCTTTGCTACACTACATCACACAATTTCTGTGGTGATTAGTCATCATGAGAGGGATTATCAATCGCCACAACCCTCAATTTTTTATTTTTTTTATGGTGCTTAACCTTGTTTTCCTCACGGTAACAAAGCACCACACGTGATATGACATGAAATGTGCGATTTAAATAATTATTAAAAAATGCCACGTCTGAAAATTATTGTAAATCATCAACAAGAAAGGGATATGCAGACTTTTACGATATTGATTGCCTTCTTCCCTCTACCTTCTACCTTATCGCTGAAATATTTATATTTATATTTGCGACATTTTCAATATGTATTATGGGATGAAAATAAATAAAACAAAACATATCAAAGTCAACAAACATATTTTATTAAAACGTAAAAATTAAAACAAAATAACTAATAAAAATCATTTTATTAAAACATAAAAATGTCAACACTTAAACAGAGCAGTAAGATTATTATTCAATGGCGATTCTTGGAATATCTACTTCCCATTATAAAATATTTATCCACGAACCGCCACTGGTAACAGCAAAGAAATTGTGACGTAAATACCAAAAAAAGAGCACAGAAAAGCAGGATTTCTTTTCTCATCAAATTTTAATCATTTCTACACGCTAACAGCATAAGCAGTAAAATATTGATCTATTTATTCATTTCCGTGACGCTTTAATTTTAGGTGTTTGGATTTTTCTGGAAAGCACTAGAAGTATATTATGTGTTTAGAAGAATGTTTGAAAATAATGCCTTATTATTTTTTGCATCAATAAGTCAGTAGCATGCTAATGAGGTACTCTAAACCAGAAAAGCAATGCCACTTTGAAATTCGAAAGTTAGTCTTTCGACGAGGCTAAATTTAAAGATTTCGATATGAATAATACAAATATAAATAAATATATAAATACATTAAAGTCATGCATGTTTCCATACATAGGTAATAAGAATCGTGAGAAATAATACAAAACAGATATACGGATACTTATATACAAAGAAGATAAATGTATTTATTGTAGGTAGATATGTCTCAACTTTGTCAGCAATGATTTCGGTTTGATAATGTGATAATGAGATCATGGAAAAAGTAGAATGAATTAAGTATCTACCTCTCCTTCAGCTCTTTTCTTTTCCAACTCCTTCTGTTTAGCATGTTCTTCTGCAATTCGAGCCTCGATGGTCGCAAGCGACTCGCGCGTAAATGGACGGAATAGGCTGCGCTCCTCCTCGGACGATAAGTCAGAGGCGTCGGACATGTCTCCTCGCGCCTAGGCCCCCACGATACCCTAAAACCACTCATATGTAAACAAATTTTCACTTGACACATATTTTTTACCAATAACAAAAAATCGAGCTTTGAAAACAATTTGTTTCCATTATTTTTCTAAATTAACAATCAAAAAATTAAGCGCATTTGAAGCTTGTTCTTATTATTTGACCCAAGGTTGGCAAATTTCTTCAGTAGGTATAGATTTTTGATAAAGTAGTACAGAAGTGTGAAATGGTTTAGAAGAATTTTAAAAATGTTACACAATATTCGCTGTAAAATTTTTAAGAAATGATATTTACTTTTTAAATACGTATGTTTTTATCATGCCGTATTGTCCTTGTCCTGTTAAACGTAAACTCTGTAATTCTCTGATGCAAGAGAGAGATGAAACGAAAATTGATTATTTCCATTCGCCTTCTCAAGGAAAGTGAGACAGGGATAAATGTAATTGTGCGGGTCTCCTGCAGTAGTATGTTTATCTTTTTCTAGCATATAAATTGCATATAAGTTTGTTTCATTCTGCGTTTTGTTTAATTATTTGCTTAATGTGATCTAAGAGGAAAATTGTGTATTAGACTAAAAGGAGATTTAAAGAAAGCAGTAAATACAATAAATGCAATTAAAAAAGAAAAATCTCCTTCTAGACTAAAACTAAAAAATATTTACTATAGTGCAATTTAAATGCCAACCTATAAAAGGGTATCAAAAAAATGCTTCTACCTCATTTTGAGTTCTCGATGTCATCAATTAAAATCAATGTGCTTAGTATTGATGGAAGCTTCATTCAAATGGTTCACAACAATCATTCCTTTGCCAATTCGTGAAACATCATCATAACTATACTTGTTTAATTGGAGATTTAGCACTTGAACCACCTTCAATGACACAATTTTGGTGTTATTTTAACTTTATTATAGTCTTTGGTTTAATAAAATTCACTCAAATTAAATATAAAAAATATATAATTAGGGTTAGTACTTAACTGTTTGATTCGTTAATTAACATTGCTTTAAGTTTCTGACTGGATGCGTTTGTTTCCCAACCTTGTACAAGTTTGATCATATTTATACCAATACGCACTAAAAAATTAAACAGTGTGGTGGTTGGCACTTGACTTAGATTTAAATTAACACAAAGTCGTGGGTTTTTAGACGAGGGTTTAATTTCAAACTCTTTTAGTTTGTTAAAACAGTTCGTTCAACCTTGCTCACGCGACCGCCATGTTCTCTCTACTCCCCTCGCGTCACGACGCCTGGCGTCGCATATAGGCGCCGCATAACCATCGCAGATACATACCATGTCCACAATCACGGCACCGACTCATACGCCCTCTATGGTCAACAACATTCACTCTGCACTTTCGATTTGTATACCTATACTTACCTATCAAAACAAAAATCTACTTAATATTTTATTACATCATCAATAATACCATATAAATAGACAACTTGACAAATCTATACTGTATTTTTTTTAATTTATGAAAGGATTAAGTTTATTTGGCGAAATGAATAACATTATAGAAAAATTTTACAAACTATAGACCTAACAAAAATAAAATATATAAAACAATTTGTATATGTACGAACTAAGTGCTTCTGAATCTGTGGCCCCTTAAATTATTATACAATTATATAAAATTATACAGAGTGAACCAGAACTCGCGCCCCAAAAAAAATGTCAAATGCCGGCAGCAATAGGTCGTCAAAATTTTTGCTTGCATAAGACTCTTAAATTCCAGAAGGGCACCTCAAGGTGTGATTGAAATATTATACCCGTTGATAGGTTACGAAAAAAAATCCCAATTTGCCCAAAACTTTCAATAAATACCTAGCTGGTCTACTGGACTTTTGACATTTATAAATGTTCTGTCATGTAGGTGACATAACCTGCTAGTTTCCAGTATTTTTCTTGAATTTTTCTCGCTGAAGAGGTTGTAAACATATAACCATCTTACTCGCTTTTTAGTGTCTCTCACTCCAAGTTATCAGGCAACCTTTTTACTTAAATCTTGCATTAGTTGCGCTTAGGTAGCTAATCGTGTCAATACTTCTTCATTTGCATAACATTTTTAGATTTTTACGATGAATTTACGATATTTTGTTTTCATAAAATTACGCTTAAATTTAATCGACTTAAAAATATTTTTTATTTTTACGTTTTATACGTAAGTCACGTATGTTGTAACACATGTGGATATAAACTTTTTAATTGATTCAAGTTATTAATAATATTATTGTTTTAAATGCGACCATCAGATTTCTTTTAAAAAACGCTAGAGCGGTTATTCCTATTTAATATACACATACATATACCTACGTTTTTATTTCTTTATAGTTTATATATACATGCTCATGTTTTTTGTGCTATCTGTAAATAAATGACGATACAGAGTATGTACATACATACATATGTACATATTTTACATACTGTAAAATTTATTATTTCAAACAAAATATCCACTCTATATTTGATATTGTAAACATGAGAATGTTTTCAACCAAACTTCTACTCATACACAACATAAAATATGTGAATATTGACAAAATACAATATACTCATCAGAATAGCAGAAAATATTATTAGATATAAATGTATGTACTTTATTATAGTTTGTTTACATTTTGACACTCCCAATGAAAACTATAGTAACATAAAAATTACAATTTTGAGAAAAATTGCATTAAATCTTTGATTGTTAATAAAAAATCAAGGAACTGTTTAATATTATTGAAAATTGCTATGGGTCTATATTTTGGTAATAATACTGTTTATTAAAAAAAAAAAAATTCTCATTGTTTTTGTATTTTGGGCCCTACATAAGCCATCGTACTCAAAAAACAATTTTATGAGTTACTATAGTTTTCGTTGGGAGAGTCGATTTAACTCCGTCATTCTCCGACGAAATTTATTATAAGTACCATAGTTTATTACTTATTAGTTTCGAAAATTTCAATTAAATTTATTTCCCAATTCGGACAATTGACTTTAATATAAATTGCCTTTCTAACTTTTTGCGAAACTGCGAATTGGGGTATTTTGTGATGTACACAGAACAACAGAGAATGAATGTAATGTAGAAAGTTGGTTAACGGAAATATTCTCACTAATGTGACTCCGCCCAACAGTTGAACGATGCGCCAAAATGAATGGAATTTGTAGTGGAAGAGAAATAATGTAGATTTGTTGATTGTTTTAGGAAAGTAAATAAAAATTGTATTTTTTGTTTTTGGATAAAAATCGGTTTTGTAATTTTAAGCCCAATGTTTTTCGATGTAAAGTAATTCGTTGTGGGAATTTTCGATGTTGTTCATGTGCAGCTAACTTCATCAACGTCATACTTCACCACATAGCAGCTTCACCGCTTCACCCAGTATTCAACCTTCTGTCAAAAATATGTGTCAAATGCTGTTTCTTATTTTATTAATATAAATAATTGTCTGTTGTAAAATGAAATTATAAATTTTATAAAAAGTTACAAGTTATAAATGAACTAGACATATGTTAAAAGTGGAAAATGTTAAAGTTTGGTTCAAAACATGACAGTAATATTGTTTACAAATGCACGGTGCGATTATTGGAAGATACGGAAATCCTAGAATGTGAATATAAGGTAAATAAATAATTTATTAATTAGTATTTAACTTACATTTAAAATTATAGCCCCACCATAAGGGTAAATACTTGTTGGAATATGTATGTCAACAGTTGAATTTAGTAGAACAAGACTACTTAGGACTTCGCTATGTTGATATTCAAGACCAAAGAGTAAGTCATTGATAATAATTAAGTAAATCTTAACTAACAAACTAAACATCATGTTCGTAGCATTGGCTGGACTTAGGAAAATCAATTTGTAAACAAGTCAAAGACTTGGATCCGGTTTTATTTAGTTTTCGTGTTAAATTTTATCCTCCTGATCCATTTCGCCTTAAAGAAGAAATAACACGTTACCAAATATTTTTGCAATTAAAAAGAGATCTACTACATGGACGATTATATTGCGCCACGAATGAAGCCGCAATGTTGGCAGCTCTCATCTTACAAGGTGAATTGGGCGATTATGACCCAGAAATTCACGTGGGAAATTATATGAGCGAATTAAAAATACTACTCAAACAGACTGAAATCATAGAGGAAAAATCAATGGAAATTCATCAGAAGCAACTCAAAGGCCAAAGTTCTTCACAAGTGGAAAACACTTTCCTCAAACTTGCCTCTCAACTAGACACCTACGGAGTTGATCTGCACCCAGTCAAGGTTAATAGTTCACCATTTTAAATTAAACTCGCATTTATTATTTTTTTTTAGGACCATAAAGGGGCTCAGCTGTATTTAGGCATAAACTATGCTGGAATTTTGACAATTCAGGGTAGTAGAAAAACGCACCATTTCCGGTGGCCGGACATTCAGAAAATCAACTATGAGGGAAAAATGTTTATAATCCACCTAAATTATAATGATGTGAGTATGTTTAATTGTAAAAAAAGTTACTAAATGAGAGTGTAGAAAAAGCATACGGTTGGTTTTAAATGCCTCACCGGCGCCGCCTGTCGCCATGTTTGGAAATGTGCAGTCGAGCAAATGCTATTTTTCACGTAAGTTTTAATTTTGTAAAAATGGTTATATAAAATTTGGTTGTTGTTAGCTTGCCGGCGAGTTCGGACGCTCCGACTGTGACTGGTGGTGGTTTTTTTTCATGGGGTACAAAGTTCAAATATACAGGGCGTACTGAAAAGGAAATCCTGGAAGATAGTGGTTCACCAACACGAGAAGAACCAAGTATTCAACGCACGTCGAGTTTGAGACGTAAAGCCTCTAGTGTACCTGCAACTCCTTCAACTCCCCTTCAACCTCATTTAGGTATTTAGGTGTTTTATATACAGGTGCGCCAGAACTCGAGCCCCAGAGAAAATTTTCAAGTAAGGTAAGATACCAGGAACATGGAAAAAATGTTTAAAAAATTCTATCTGTCAAAAAATTTTGACATTTATTTTTTGACATTTGACATTTTTTATATCTATTTAAGGATACTGATGATCTTGTATATGTTTTTTACAATTATTTAGTAAAGGGACAAAAATTTTGCTAATAAAAGCCACAAATAACATTGAACAGAGTTACAATTTAGGACACAAAAGCAAAACAACTTGGAAAATTATTTTTCCAACAAAGTGCAAACTTTAAACCGTCATAATTTCGAAATTTTTATATATAAAATTTTTTTAACATTTTTTCCATGTTCCTGGTATCTTACCTTATATATCTTTCTCTGGGGCGCGAGTTCTGGCGCACCTGTATACTATACGAACCGAACAATAGGTGTAGCTGTTTTTTTTTCTTCTTTTTTTCTTATAGGTTATAGTAGTCTGCCGAGGTCAAGTCATTCAGATGCTGGAGGGTCCAGAATGGAGTCTAGTAATAGTACAGGGTTGCTGTCAGGATTAGACGGAAATCCATCTCAAGCTTACGGCGATGTTGCTGCCTTAGAAACTGTTTCAGAAGATCAGGAGGCGATGGGAGCTTCCAAACTTCGAACGACAGGTTGGATTTTGGTTGGGTGGAAGTTTGGTTGTTGTTGTTAATTTTTTTGTTTTTGTTTTTAGTATTAAAGGATGATTCGATGGATCGTTTCAGTGATTATTATTTTCGAGATTCATTCGAACATTCATCATCCGAATCTCAGTTAATTGATAGTTACCGTGGTTACGAGACTACTAATCCCTCTCATCGCTCCAGTCGTAGCCAAACTCCGTTATCTCATTCTCAGGTTGATGGTCGAATTTGCCTGCCAAATACTACACATAGTGTACAAACAAATATTAAGAAAAGTAAAAAATTTAACATAGTGAGCGCGTTCATACCCACATTCATTATTGTTACGATATTTGTACTAATTGCAGCAATTGTAATGTTAGAAACTGATTGTGAATTATTTGGTAGCTTTAGGAATATTCCGGAAATGGTTTCATTAAAATACCAATTCTATGAACCAATTAAACAATATTTTCGAAGTAAAATGTCGATATTTTTCTGATTGTTTAAATTCTCTCATTTTGAATTTCGAATTCAGCTTTAAAAATTCTCTTTGATAAGTAGCAACAGATTAGTTTAGTTCAAAATAGAGTAAGGAATACAATTATTAAAATAGTTCCTGCAATACTAAATCATTAGAATAGATTACGATTTTTTTGATAACAAAATCATTTTTGTGTTCTAATGGCTTTAAGCAAAATGCACTGTTTTTGTGATACAACATTCGTTAAACGAACTAAAATATGACATTCCGTTCAGGATGATTCAACGTTATTGTTGACATTCTTCATTTTTCTCGTTTTAAATTATTGTAATTAAAAATGTACACTGTGCACAATTTTTATACAAAAGTACTGGGGCAGAAATAAATACCTACCTGTATTTTGTTGGCAATTAAATTTAAGAAATCTGTGATCTTTTTTCAATCTGCTGCTATAGTAATAGAAATAATCGTACAAAGAAGTGCAATCAAAATTTATTTTTCAGTTGAATTTATGAAAACGAAAATAAAATACTCGAAATCATAATTGCTACTTATTTATGCCAACAATTTGTGATTGTTTTATACATTTTGTGTACACAGACTTGCTTAGCGAGATTATATAATTTTATATAAGTATGTAAGTATAATAATTTAAGGGGCCACAGATTCAGAAGCACTTAGTTCGTACATATACATATTTTTATACGTTTTATTATTTCATTTATATTTTTGTTATATAGTTTATAAAATTTTTCTATAATGTAATTCATTTCGCCAAATAAACTTAAGTCAATTAACAAAAGTGACATTACTTAATCCTTTCATAAATTCGCTGTAACCAAACATTACGCTTGAATAAATAAGACAACCATGACTAACATCCTTTATTGAAGTAAGCTGATGGTGCGATGTGATTACATTTTGGCTTAAAATTCTCAATTTCAATCACATTGGAGTATTTCGACCTGTGCAATATCCTGTTTTTTGTTCGAGATTCGGGAAGGTGATCAACATGGGTGATCTCAGAGTTATTTTCATCATTTTTCTTATATAAATCGTCACCTTAAACAATTTTAATTTTTTATTTTTATGGAAACGCAAATTTTGCTGCTACCTGGTAGAATAGTGTACATCGCTTCGTTTGTTTTAACTCTGTTGGGCCAGTAAGTCTCAAATCCGAATTTGGCCCGCTCTGTGGCAAACTTTGAGAGGGATTCAACATCCGATATGGTTTTTAACCGCGACATTTCGTAAAACTGCGGCACGGGCAATAATACTTTCTGCTGGTTATTCATCTCAATGCATTGCTCTGGTGTGGTCCACTAAAATAAACAATAACTTTTAAGGAGATCAATAAATTTTAAAAGAGACCATTAAATCTTGAATTTCCCTTTCATCTTTATGCACTGTTGGAATTTGATTTAGAGTTGTTAGAAAAAATATTGTATTAAATTTGGACGTCAAGTACGAGGGTGGAGTGATCCAATGACTCCAGTTTTTTAACGCCCAAACATCGGGACAAAATTCGAAATGAGAACACATTTTTAGGAATTGTTCCGAATCGTCGTGCACTTTATGTTGCCATAATATCAATTCCTTTCCCCCTAAAATTGTGTTTTGTAATAAAAAAAAATTAAAACCACTGATTTTACCGATAAATGAAGCCCAATTGGAAACAGTAGTGTCAGCTGAGTTTATTTTCGGACGACCCAGCAAAATACCACATTCTTCAAAAGTTTCCCTGATAGCACATATTCTAAATGATAAATATTTTGGCAGGCAATTTGTCTCGTGCTGTGTTAATACATTTGGGATATTTTCAGCGGCTTGTAAATCATCAAATGATTGTTTACAAAAACCAAAATTTTCGTATAATTTTATCCAATCCAAACTGCTGTCACTTGGGGATAGATTTCCTCCGGGAAAAACATAAGTGTCTGGCATAAATCCCGACTTAGAACTGCGCTTTAGGCACACAATTTTATAATTATAGAAATTTGGCGTACCAAAAATTGTTTTTGCCGTTAAAATCAGACTTGCAGATTCGCGCCAGATTTTCAAATTTGCAGTCATGGCACTCGAGAAGAATGTGAAAAAATCTAAATAAAAATAAAATAATCAAAAATTGCTATTTACGTACACCATGCGTAAATAGCACAATACATAACAAACAACAAAACCAACCAAAACTCCCGTCTATGTAAAACAGTAGTTGAACAATAAGTAGTTATCTGTGTTAGCGATAATTAATCGTATTGATGTGTTTGTTTGTGGAGTGAAATTATTGAAATTGGTCCCACGTGGCAACAAAATTAGTTTTGTTTGCACAAATGATAATTGGTGTATTGTTGGTTGCCTGTTAATTGCGGTGTTTGAGCTACAGCAGCAGGTATTCTAAACATTCGGTGACCTTAGGGGCGGAGTTTGTGGACCTCGGGGTTGTCGATCAGCGCCCTGTGCAGTAGTACCATCTTGCGAGATTGTAAGGAACTAGATTGAGTTTGTATAACACCGTAGTGACTGAATTGCATTGCAGCTTCGATGTAATTTGGAAATCGAATATTTTGTACGTGTACAGACACTCCCTTGACAAAATTTGAATTTAGTGCTGTTTCTGACTGAAGAAGACTTGGAAATAGTAATAAGTTAATAGATGAGTGCGAGTAAAACCCGTTTTAATACAAAGAATTCGCGATTCATGCATTCTTCATAGACGGTTTCAAAATGGAGTAGATGGTCATTGGATTTGTTGTTGTTCTGGAAGAAGAGACGGTGAGTGCCGGTTTGGGGACTGATTTGCGAGGTGTTCTCGTCGGGGGGCGACGTCTTCTTCACCTGGGGACCAAGAGAAACAAGTGTTGCTGATGTTTTTATACATAAATCGGGGACTTTTCTGGATGCTGCTGGAACTATTTATGACCTTTGTGCACCCAAATATCCACCGATCGGTCTTTCATATACCGAAATAAGGTAAAGTTGCCTCAAAACTCCCGGCTTGAATCATTCCCATTTTGCAAATGTGGATTTTTTTCTCATTAATCATCTTGTCAGGTGCTATCAAATGTTTTCAACTACCTTGCGAATTAAAATTTGATTTCTTTTCAAATTCAGACGACTAATGAAATTTTACTTTTATTTAAAAATGTTTTGTCTAGGGTCTAGACAGTTTCATTTTATAACCGATTCACGTGTTTCTACGGTTATTGGCAATTGGCATAGGTATACATTTAAACAAACTTCCAGCGTCGAATTGCCATTCAAAGTTCTCTCAATTTAATTCAATCAATCCTCTTTTTATTTTCGTCAAGATATTATTAGGTAATATTAACTCGGTGGCCACATTTTTCATTTTATTGTTTTTTCCGACAACCATTGTTTACGTTTCCTTATTTATGTTTACATTTTTAACAAGTACTTTATAATCTCAACTAAATATTTATACACCTATTTTTTTTTCTGCTACTACAAAATTATTTATCTTGCCTGAAAATACCTCTTGGTAACAAAATATTCAGCTAAATTTAATAATTATTTTTATGCATTCTAATGCGTTGTTTTTTTCCTATTCAGAACAAATTAATTTTCTAAGAATATAGATGATAAAAGCTACCATTTAACCAAACATGATTAAGAATTTTTTAATTACCGAATTTTATGGCTTATTGGCCACCATGAAACAGCACATCCAATAAATAACTCTTGCTACCAAATTCGTCCAGAAACATTTATATATTTTAGTAGAATTGAGCGAAAATAAGTAATATATAATATTATTGTGTGGAGGAAGAAAATTCAATTTCTATTGGTGTGTGATATTGTATCGGTTATGCACATAAATTGATGTGGATAATGTTTATTAAAGATTGACAAAAGGAAATCTGGTTTAGTGTTGATTTAGAGGTTTTTCCATGAAATTTTCAATGTTGTAACAAACGTGTGAAATTATGCCCTGGTGGCATATTTATTTAAGATTCCAGGGGGACATAAATCGAAATACTTTGAGAAGTTGAACCGCTTGAGATTTAGCGTTAAAGTTTCGAAAAGAAATTTTATCATCTTTTGGCCATTATTTTCATGAGTTTAAGTTTTTATCACGACATATTATTGGTTATAATTTGGAGTTATGAATAGCTTTGGTGTTTTAGGGGTTGATTTAAATGAATAAAAAAACAAATAAACCGTTGTAGGTGTATTTATGTTTTTAATTAAAGCGGGAAAGTTGCTTGGCTGGTAGCTTTTACATTAATACGATGATAAGTGGTTTGGTAAGAAAAATTTGATGAATATAGATAATTAGATAATTCTCTCAATGTTACAAATAAAAACCATATTATCTTTCAATTCTACTGGTCAACTTTTTTATGACATTCATTTACCTTTAGTATTTACACAAAGACAGTCTCCAACTAGCTTGAAAATCTTAAACAAGTTTTTTTTGTTTTATTCTGGTCGTGAGATGTAATTAAAAAAGATTAAAACAATTTTTCAGTATAATTATAATGAAATTTAAACTCAACTTTATCATTTTCAACTTTTATTAAAACGTTATAAAAGAAATTCCAAACATTGTTAACTTTTGAGAGTTTATTACAGTGATCACCAAATAAACTATCTTTTCAGACATCAATCAAAATAATAAGAGGGTGTAATTTAATTTAAGAATATTTCAATAAAACCGTTTAACATCAAGTTCATGCGAAAAAAAAAACCGGTTGCAAATTTCACTCCGATGTTGCATTGTTTCCAATACCATCATTACTCTTCAATAATGCGGTATTGTTTATGAAATTATGTACTTTTTTATCATTGAGGACGGTTATAAACATGTCGACAGTTTTCCGATTATAGACCTTGCATTTATGTACTAAAATCCTCTGACTAAGAGCACACTCATCCCTTGTCGATACTAAAACCAGACTTGATTGAAGCATCGTTTTATGGTTTTGTTGCTATAGTATTGTTAAATTAGTAAAGTTTGTACGTTGTGATTTTATCGATCTTTTAAATCACTCTCGTCTTTAATTGCAACACAAACTTTATTCGATATGTGTAGATTTGTTGGATGTGCATATTTGCCGTGACACATCCTGATAACACTGGTTCTTATCTCTTATCTACGCAAATATTACAAAGAATGTAAAGTTAACTTTCCGGGTGATCGTTTCTCCGAAAAATCAATATTCGGAATTCAATCTAAAGTCATTATTTAAATGTGGTCATATTAATTATAATTGTTATTGCTATTTTCGTCGGTTGAATAATAATCGACGAACCGAATCGGAACCTTTCACGAACCAGCAGATTGGGAATCTTGTCATTGGTATGGTATAGCCTCGTTATGCGACTGGATAAAATCTAAACGATGAAAAAACTAGTTCCTAAATATTTTCCAGGTTGAAAATCTCACATTTTAAAACTCATCATGTGTGTAAATACAATTTTGTTTTGTTTGGAAGTGACAAAACGAATCAAAAAAAACATGGCATGGTAATTGGTTAAGTTTTCTTAAATTACGTTTTATGTGATTTGATGCATAAATCTGATTTTACCTTTCTGCTTTGAGCACGTTTACCGAATCTTTTGTTAATTTCAGACTTAACGTAAACAATATTATGAAAACAACATAACGCACAGATTTAACTTTTAGGCCTTTTTTTCTCTATAAAACTTTACTAATTGTAGTAGATAGAATTTTATTGTAGAATTGTGATTGAATTTTTCTTTTCTATTTTTAGTGCTTCCAAATTTTTCAACAGGAAAAAAACAATTGTTATTGTGGGACAAAGATAGTTAAATAACGTTTTACATGTCACGTTTTAGTAAGGTATATTTTTGAGACACGCTTAATTAATTTTAGACGATGGACCAGATTAGTATCTATCAATTTGCTTGCTTTAAGAGTTTTTGGATTATTTTGAATCAGAAAATTGTTCATTACGGCCCTGATTGGTTCAAATTGTTCTAAATTTTGCATTGATCGTACATAAAGAACCAATCTGTCGAATTATGCGCACTTTGAACATTTGAAATTTTTTTTGAAAGATTTACCAAATAAAGGCTAAAACCGCTAAAAACGACTCGAATCGGTATTTTTGAATCAAAAATAGAGCAAAACACAAATTTTAGTACACAATAAATGAACCTAATTCACAGTGTTATGTAAATCTTCCAAAAATGTCAAAATTTGACAGTTTGGATATTTGACAGTAAAGAAAATTAATTAACGTTTATGTGTCCAACCAATCAAATTTAAGATTATGCAAAAATCTCACCGATTGGCCATAAAAAAAACTGTCTTAATATAATTCGAATTTGCCTTGAAAAAACGCAAAAATAATGAATTTAAATTAATTTTTCCAATTAGCCACGAAAAAATAATGTTAGATAAGGGACTCTTTCGTCAATTTTTTTCTTAGTGGGTTTCAAAAAAAATGCAGATTAAAGCTTAATGTGACTAAAAAAATTTGATTTTTTTGAAGAGTGTGGGCGACATTGTCAGATTGAATGATTGAAATCCAACGCACTCTTAGTGATTTTTTTAAAACGTTAATTTAGGCACTTTTAGATTTTTGTTCTCTCTGAAACTTTACCACTTTGTAGAATTATGATTGAATTTTTGTTTTTTATTTTCACTTAATCTCCACCTTTTGCCGTTTTCTACTTTTAGTGCTTCCAACAATTTCCAGGAAAAAACAATTGCTATCGCATGACAAAGATGGTTAAATTAACGTTTTACACGGGTGTGAGAGCGTTCAAGCTATCACGTTTTAGTAAGGTATAATATATAATTTGGATTCAAATTTAATGTACCTTATTGTTTTTTATTAGATCTATTAGACAGGTGTAAATTGCCTTTTTGTTAGAGGAATAATTCAGTCCCTATCATGTGTCCTGAAATTTTCGATAAATTCTTACTAATACTTTTTTACTTACTTTGGTTAACTTGAAATTTATGCAACACGTCAGCATTAAACGAAGTAAAAAAGAAGCCATGATCCGATCTTGTACGTAATCGCTTTGCGGGAGGATTATCGTGTTAAACTAAGTGAAAAAAATGCCCAATCTACTACAGATTACATGAATTAACCTCGTTCATATTAAAAATAAAACGAATCGTGAAGATCTTATACAAATGTACAAAATTACACACGACTTACTAACAGCTGAAAAAAAATCAGTTTGTAAATGTTGTCTCTGACAATAGACTAAGAAGAGGTCATACATACAAAATTAAAAAAGAAAAGTTTAAAACACCTGTTAGACAAAATTTCTTAACAAACAGGGCTTTTGAAAACTGAAACAAGCTACCATAAACCATTGTTAAAGCAGAAACGGTATATTTTTTTTTGAACAACACGCATAAAGCTGTAAAGGATTCATCCTCGGCGAAAAAAAAATTCTCGTTCCTCTTTTTGGGCATAAAAGGATCATTTTGGCTTATTTAATCGATTAGCGAAATTATTGGTCGAAACAGTAGTTGTTATCGGTCAAAACTGATGTGATAAAAGCGGTGAATGAGCTTTCAGGATTTGGTGTGAAAAAGCGTGAATGTGTTTTAAAAGAAGCACAAATCCTAGTAGGGTAATTAGAGTTTTTTGTTTGTGTGAAATTTGTTAATAAATTTGGAATGTGGGAGAGATTTGATGTTGTTTCGCGTTTTATATTCTTTTTTCGTCGAAAACTCTTCACAATGACGTATTGCTTTAATATCGCTAACCACCGTTGCTTGTTTCTTACAAGAGGAGCTCTTCTTTACCGAAAAAAATACATTAGTTTAAATGGGAGTGTTTTGTTCGTCGTAGACTACGCTCTTAGCTGGATTTTACGGGGTAATAAATAATAAGAAAAGTCCTCGATGGTGAATATAATTACATCAAACATAGTACGTGCACGTTAAGATTAAAATTTTGCGATTTGTCATTGGCATGAATGGACTTAGTAAGTCAACCGCAATGAATACGTTGCATCAA